TCAGGACTCCAAGGTCTAGATGTGACCACTTTCTGAACACTCGATGCTCTGAATTCTAATATTAGAAATACAATACTTGAAGATTAACCTACATTTGAGATCAAAATCGGCAATGGGGAAGAATCTGGTATGAGTATGTATAGAGGCACTCAGCACAGTAAAGTTTACTGTGGTAGTGCTGACGTGCGATTCTGAACTTAAATTGGTTTTTCATGGGGTATAAGTCTTGTATAATTCTCTCAGCCTGCTCGATGGAGGAAACACGTCCGGACACAGCAGGTTTAAGGTATTAGATTTTACATTTCACAATTTGGCCATCAATCCCTTTCACTCACACCCAGTGCCTCATCCACCTATAGAGTAACAATACATCAGGGCCTGTGCGCGTCAATGGAAATTTTTATAGATGATCTGTAGATTGTGGTTGATCGCCAAGCCAAGCTTTTAGCGTCAGGGGCTACAGCCTCGCACCCATCTCAGAACTATGGCGCACCTAACACTTCCGTTGTTTTTCACTCTCAACCATATGCCAATCAATCACTGAGAATATCAGCTCTTCTCTTTATTGCAGCAAGATCATGCTCCGTTTAGTGACGCTTGGGTGCACTCATCAGCGCTTGCACTATAACATGACTCGCCTCATGGGTTACAAAAGCTTGGGTTCCTTGTGTCGTGGGTTCCTCCTCCTGAGGAAGTCTTCTCATCCGTGTCCTCATAGACAATGTTGACCCAGCCATACCCCTGATCGCATTCCCTTCGTGTGTCTTCTTGCCGTAGGGGCACATCTACCAGTGCTGTTTGATCCGCGGCGTAGAGATCGTAATTGAAGATTTGGCCTATTGTGGTGACGGTGTTCGTAGATGAAGGGGTTGATTTAACTTCCAGTGTATCGAAATTTCTGTTAGAAGGAAGGGTAGGTAGGTCATCTTGGATTGACACTGCAGCGTGAACATCAACGGAAAGGTGAGACTCGTCCGTGGTGGGTTTGTCACTCGCAATCGACGCGTCAGGGCCAACTGATTCACCCGCAGCCGAGCCCCGGCCAGAAGAGTGTGTTCCTGAACATTGGTACAGCAAGCTTTCAACCCGAAGAAGGGTGGCTTGAACATCTTCGAGCACTTCTCGGTCAAAGCGGGACGAGCGTATAAGGGAGGAGATCCTCCCCCCGGTGAGAAGAATTGGCGATACGTCGTCCATCGAATGACGGTCCAGTCACGAATCGTCCGGTGGGAAAGAGCATTCCCCGTCAATCAGGCTCCTGGCAGGCTCGATACTCTGATAATGCAGGTGAGAATGTAGTCAGGCAAGGTTGAATCATTCCAGATTACCGCTTTACGGGTCCATCGATAGTTATAGTAAAAGTATGAGTACGTTCTAAGAAGTAATGTAATCTGAGCCTTGACAAAGGGATTGAGAAGGGAGTGAGAGCTGTTCGAAGGCAACTTCAGCAGGGGACCAGATCATCTTTCTTGCTTGTCCTCGGGGGAGAGCAAAGTTGACTGTCCATCGGTGGGCCATTCCCAGGATAGGCTCGTGGTAATTCCAAAAAAGGAGCCCGCTTGGATTGTCTTTCTATTTTTATCCTACCCTTATTGTGGGTATTCTCGTATGATGAATGATAACTTTTGGTCCTTCCATAGTTCTGTTGTATTGTACGTTCCTGTATGTACGTACATGGTGGGTGTTATTCATGCCAAGAGACAGTACAGTATCTGTCAAGAACTCGAACGATGGGCAATCTTCGGGCTGGAAATCGAGGAGAATTAACAGGAAGATCGATGAAAGCGGACGCCCTCTTCTGAAAACAATGGGCCAATTATTCCTTCGCATTCGCTTATTGATTCTAATGCCCTTTGAGCCCTGAGTAGGGCAGTGAGAATATCTTTTTTTGTCAACAATCTATCGAAGAGAGAGCCTTGAACGGAAGATAATTCCACGACATGCACAAGAACTTTCAACTTTTGTCATTTCAGGGGCCTTGGAGGTACGACTGCGCTCCCAGATGACATCCAAAGTTCTGAGAATGGGCGAGACCTGTTCGTTTTCAACGTATTGATGTAGTGCCGAGCAAAGAGTGTCACTTCTTCCACGCTGGGCCATGACCAAGATCAAGAATTTTAACGACGTTGGAAATGAGACCATTCGTGCAAGAAGCTCACAACCATCTTCCAACTTCACGGCTTCTGTGGCTGGTAATGTGAGTTTGGTAAGATGTCGATATCCAATGAGATCAAGGGGCTGAGCCGGTGTAGAGGTGGTCCAGGTATCGATGGTCAATACCTCTAGGTTCTGTTGACATTGATAGAGCCCTGCGCTGATCCCCTGTGCCACTGCTTTGGCATGATACCATGGCACTCCCGGAGTCATACCCAAAATAGGTTGCAATTCGAACTGGCGTAAATCTTGGCAGCAGCGAAGCAACGACGCGACCTCAGCTTCATCCATGTGAGGATGAAAGAGACCAAGGTAACGGAGAGGCGAGGTTATATCCCCGACCGTGTTCGGAAGAGAGTACCCGCGCAGACTCCAAGATCTGAATATTTCCAAGGAGGGCAGCCGCAGAATAGACTTCACGTCCACGCCAGCGTCTTCGTTGGCCAAAAGGCTGAGACTGGCTAATTCTTTGAATGGGAGCCCTCCCTTGGCATCGACGCTGGACCATTTTATCAACCTGTTCAGGTACTGTGCTGATCTTCCGAGCTGCAGCTCGACCTCCACAAGACGATGCAGCTGAGAAAGTATGGATGAGATCCAGATTGCGCCGTTGTTGAAACGAAGATCCTCAGCCACCTGTGGAAAGGTCGAATGCCACCTCTTCAGAGGTAGCAGGAAATATCTTTGCGCTTCTTCTTGAGCAGTTGTTGTGCCCTGCACACTCGGTCTCTGGTCGCGATGGGAAATGGCCTGGAGTTCAATTTGCTCGAGAGCTCCTGCTTCGAAGTATTGAACCAGCAATCCTAGATCAGGATGTTCTGTGAGGGTCCGAGCGAAATGAACTGCGGCTCTTGGAGAAGGCAAAAATACGGCTTTGTAAATCAATTTTCGTGCGACAGCGTGAAAGCGTTTCGAAGTCAGTGAGATTGCGAACAAGTTGCCACAGGTGATACTGGTGCCGTAAGGCTTGATCGACAGGTATTGGACAACCAGAAAAAGAAGTTCGTGTGGGAGGTCAAATAAATGTGCCATCGAGTCCGTGGACCACTGTATAAAAATCAGCCCCAAAACTTGTTAAATGAGGAATAGGAGACGATCGCTTACCTGCTAAATCATCCTAGGGCGTCAAGTGATATACTTTGAGGAACACCCCCTGCTTATAACTGCACCTGCTGGCCAAGACACGAATCGATGGAACCTAGCGGGACTTTATATGGTACATCTTCATGCGTGAGTTTTGTCAAGGTATTACAGTATCGCGATTTAGCTTCTTTGGTTTACGTTTCTTCCTCCGCACGATCTGTGAAGAAGCCTTGCTGAATGCTCTGGGATAACATTGCGGGAAAAGAAATGCAATTCAGTGGTAAATCACCAATCATTCTTAGGAGGACCATCCTGTGCGAAGATCCAGTAACCTCAACCCAAGAAAAGAAACATGCTGCAGTGATGAGGATGAAGAGAAGAACGACCAATTTAATCAAAGGAGACTGGCTAGTGACTGGAGTGCCGAATTGCATGCGTCTCAGAGATTCAGGAGGAGTGTCAGACTTCAAGAAAAGCACGATGGTTAAGACAAGTTTGACAGAAAATATATTTGCATCTTATCTTTACCTTGTTACGCACCCCTCCCTGGCTCTGCTGTACTGCAGCACCTTGTGGTATAGAGACAATTTGGCAGCAATACTGCATATCGTATTCACAGCTTTGACCGTCGAGAGTACCCGTTGCTGTTAGTGCTTATTTTTGGGTGGAATGAACATTCCGTCCTGAGTTCCAAGCTCTCCGTATGTGTCGATAGTGTGGTACATATGTCGGCCTTCTATATAAGCAACGCCTTCGAAATATCTTGGTCCGGCTTTGCTGTTACAAGATACATGGAGGGTAGCATAATCTTCCAAGCCCTCTTCTTTCCAGTTGCGTGGCTCTTATTAGTAGCATTGCTATTGAGTATATCACTATCTCACAGATCGATAAACAACTCCGCAGCCGTTGACATGGCGAACGCCACAGATCCCAAAATACTAGAGACGGCCCACAAAGGCAAAGACTACAGCTACGAAGATGAGAGTACAGTTACGCTGTCCACGCGACCTAATCTACGCAGCCGTCTCGTAGAGGTTCTACTCGAACGGTCCAAATCCGAGACACACGCCAGTCTTGTTGGTCAACTGCCCGTCATCGGAAACGACATGGGTCGACAAGAGCACCAACGCTCGCCGACAGAGACATCACGACCAAAAGGTCAGTTAGAAAGCTTTCACGTCGAATATATCAAACGTTCCAAATACGACCTGGATCGCCAGGAAGTTTTGTATGAAATCAAATGGCTGGGTTATCGAGATGCCGAAAACACCTGGGAACCGAGAGAAAACCTCCTCCCGTAAGGAATTTTGAAAAATTCAATGAAACCAAAGTACACTTAGGTTGACAGACTGCAGTGACTGCTTGATTAACATGCTCGTTCATCATTACCTCGTCGGATCGACGCCGCTTTCATTCCACAAGCCTAATCGACACACAAGTCGACCGGCTCCGGCAAAGTCGGCCAACAAGTCCTGCAGCTCGGCGGAGAGAATTATCAATCATGATAACTTCTCCCTCCACGTCGATTGCATGAGCCAGGTTCTTCAAACAGACTGGGAGCAAGAGGTGGTGGAAGTGGAAGATTTACACACCTCAAGTTCTGGGGAACCGGCAGCTGTCGCGAAGACCAGCGACGGGCAGAGACATGTCTTGACCACCGAATGGCTGGCGCTTCACTGTCCACTGAAAATATTGAGGTTTTACGAGACGAATGGGAATTTTTAATGTCTCAATGTGGATAGGATAAAGTACAGGCCCAGAGGGTGAATTTTTCGGCTGCTGACTGCGAATCTGCGTCTGGCTCTAGGTAAATGGTTGTAGACTCGGCAGCGGTTGCCAAATGTACTGTAGAATTGAATACTTTGTCTAGTTGGCTTTGTGTTTACAGTAACATTCGTTCTTTATCTACAGGAGCCTGTGATCGGCCTCGAGTACGCAGAAGTTAAAACGAGATCTATCGTGCAGTGGCTATGGTGCGATGTCCAACTGTGAGGAGACCCCAAAATCTTACCTGCGATTTCAGAGCCGACCTCCAAGCAGGGCTCAAAGTTCTCTTCTATCCATCCTGCTGATGCCTTTGTCCATCGTCTGTGATTGTTGGAAAACTTGAGAACGATGTGTCTATAGAGACAGGTACAAATTGGTGGCGAAACTTTTCGTTCATGAATTGGTTAGCTTCAGATAAAATTGCGTCGAAGGCAGTCCGCCGCTGGGTTAGAGCTCTTAGGAAGGCTTTCCGTGCGTGCTCACTGAAGCAGTATCTGTGATGTGGTCCACAGGTCAGCGAACTCGCTCGGAATTTCGTCGACTCGTGCAGTATGTAAAAAAGGCGACGGCCTTACCGATATTCGGGCTCAGAGGAAGGGGCCAAGAGTAAGATGCCAGGTCCAAAGCCTTCGATCAGCTTGGACCACAACTCCCCAAGGGCACGCCATTGTTTCACTCTATCCCTCATCCTTCGCGGGGGCACGCCCTTAAATCTTGGATCTGACAGATGGAGGTCGACAAGACAATCCATGACCACTGTAGCCACACCCTTGCCTCGCCCCATCGGTAGGGCCCATGATCTGTTACGTTGTCGATACCACTCCCGCATCCAGGGCAAGAAGGACGAGTCTGCGTCTTTCCGGGTATCGTTGGAGGCGGCCGCATAGAGCTTATAGTAATGGGCATAGTCCATTCGATTCTTCAAGCTCTGAACTTCACCTCGGAGGGAGTTCTTTTCCAGTTGACGACCATGTTGTAGGACAAAGTTGACAAAGCTTGGTATGTCTTGGCATCGGAGCTTGCCAATCAGCGCAGTCGTGTCCTTTTCCGGTAATAGCTGCGAAGAAGTAATCTCTCGCCACTCCTTTCTCAGGGTTGAGATGAACGCACCCTGATCGTTCGTCCCGAAACGCTCAGCCAACGCTTCAGGAGTGTGCTCCACCTTCACTGTCTTTAGTGGTGAGTGAATAGTCTGATTTGCACATGTTCTTTTCCTCCCATTCACGTAACGTGTGCCGCGCTCCTCCTCTTCTTCGGACCCGCTGCCGTCATAATCGTCAATCTCTTCACTCAGGGACATCTCCGCATCTTCTGGTTGCGGCACGATACAGGCGGCATTCCGAGGTGACCGACCCGGTTGTTCTACTCCCGTTGAGCACACTTGCTCCGCATTCGGTCCAGCCAGAATGGGACTGCCACCGGAATGGCAGCGGGCGTGAGCTTCACGTGCTTTGCCAGCCGCGTCACAGCTTCCCGTCGTGAGAGGCACCTCGCCATCTCTAGCATCAGGTGGTCCTGAATTGCGCGTGATTGAGGGTGTCAATACTCGCGTGCTTGCCCGACAGCCTTGAATCATGCGAACATCTTCTCGTGGGGCTGGGCGTCCACCTGTTTCGGAGGATTCTTGGATAATTTCTCGTCTCAGCAGAACTTCTTCTGGCTGGTGCAACCTCGACCCTTCCGACATCCGAGGGCCAATCTCGTCCATGGAGCCCGTGAACGCCGCCTCAAAGGTGATCCGGCAGGAACAGGAAGCCATCCGGCTGAAGTCGAGACGATCTGCTTCTGTAACTCACTCAGTGGAAATGTTCAGGTGATACTTAGCATCACAACTACACCTCTAGGCCCTTACCTCACATAATGAAGGCAGCTGTGGCGATTCAATCCTCGAGGGTTGATGGCCGTCGCTGTAGCCTCTGTGTTGTGGCAGGAAAACCTGGGGACTATGGGAGCGTAGCCAGCATATAGCGTCTTCAAGGGTAGCAGCCACTCTGTCTACGATGTCTGTCGGCGGCTCGGCGAGAGACTCCATGCATGCTCGCTCGAACGAATGCCAAAGCTCTTTCAAGCTGTCAGTGGTTGTACCAGAATAGACGGAAGAATCCATATCTGCTCCAGGAAAGGAACCGCGGTCGAGAGGTGTGCGTGTGAGTTCCAACAATCGGAGGGGAATGACTGACTTCCATGAGGCCGATGCTTCGGGAAGCCGCTTTTAATAGTGAAGAGATTGGAGGCCTGGCGAGACTGAGCCCGATCTCTATGTGGGCTGTGCGGTTGTTACAGTAACTCCTGAGAACACCCATGAGTCTCTAGGTCAATTGTGACCGGTTCCTAAAGCGGGATGTGATCCCTTTGCTAGAAAATGCTGCGATGTCGGTTTGTCATTTTCGGCTGTACGGCAGGCATTGCAGGGTGCTGCATTGAGCAGTAGGTGTTCCAAGCCCTTTCAATGTCACTATGGATGTGCCAACGCTAACGCAGGGAGACTAAAGACGAGGAGGTCTCAATTGGTAATGTACTTCTGGTTTCGTCGTCGTGAGGAATGTTTGTCGTGACAACTTTTTTGGCGTACGCAAGAACACCTTGATCCTGAAGGCGAATGTCTACGCCTTCTCCAAGCAACCCTTCCGTCATATCATTTGGTCATACGTCTCGCTAGACTGGACATGCATTCCCTGAAGTCCGCGCAGCCAGGCAGACGAAGCACATTCCCACAATCATTTACCAATAATATCGGGTAATCTTCGGAATTGTGAATTTATTTGGTGTTTCCCGCCGTTTGAAATAAGTACAGGTGTACGCACTGTACGACCGCGACAAGGGATTTATCACCTCGTAGCTCGAATTCCTCGTTCTTCTAAAAACGCTACCTACTGGACTTTTTCGGGTGACAGACACATGACCTGGATTCCCAACGGTGAAACCACATCTCCCGAGTTGGCTAAAGCCGCTAAGCTTACCTACTTCATCCGTGTCATTTCTTACAGTAAATGTATCGAGAGGACGGTGGGAAATCCTTCTAAGCGCGATTCTCGAAAACAAAGTACGGTACCCTACCCATCCTGCTCGTTTCGGACTGTAACCGGGATTTGGGAATCAGAGTCTGTGTGAGTGGTACATTTTCAGCTATCGAAGATAAAAAGCATTGAGCCCATCCGTTTGACTTCGTCAGACACTTCTAACATGGATGAGTACGACTAACGAGAGCGAAAAAATTTTCGTCTTCCGTACCATCTCTGCATAGTACTTGACGAATCAGAGGCCTCTAGGAAATGCCCTGTCTATGTTGATGTCGCACTGCTTCCTCTTCTCCCTGTATCATGAAAACGTAAGCTCAGTGGAGTACAGTATTTTAAGATGTGCATGAGCCAGCGAATTGATTTCAAACTCATGTCCTATCGCGGCACGGTGGAGAGGGGTGAAATATTACGCTTGGATATCGAAACACGCTATAATCTGTCCTCAAGTCCTAGCGCGTGGGTGCTTGTCAGACTGGGTACTGTCATAGAGGTGTGAAGGTCTAAGAGTGGAGAGAGGGACAGGGAGGGGAGAGAAGGGACAGAGAGAAGAGAGAAGGGACAGAGAGAAAGAGAGAAGGGACAGAGAGAAGAGAGAAGGGACAGAGAGAAGAGAGAAGGGACAAAAGACAAAGAGAGGGGGACAAAAGACAAAGAGAGGGGGACAAAAGACAAAGAGAGGGGGACAAAAGACAAAGAGACAGAGGGTGTGAGAGGGGGTGTGAGAGCGAGGTGGTGTGTGAGAGAGGGTGTAGAGCGAGGTGGTGTGTGAGAGAGGGTGTGAGAGCGAGGTGGTAAGAGGGGGAGAAGAGAGCGAGGGGAGAGAGAGAGGTGGCGTGAGAAAGCGAGGAGAGTGAGAGCAGGCCGCGATGAAAAAATGGAAGAAAAATCGACATTTTTGGGTTCCACCAAATGACCTCAAAAAAATTTCAGGTCATTTGGTGGAACCCAAAAATGTCGATTTTTCTTCCATTTTTTCATCGCGGTGATTCAAAGGACCATCTCAGTGCTTTCGCACCCATAGGGCTTCGTCCTCCGGCGCTCTAAGAGCAGCACCCATGAGGGTAGTACATAGGATAGAAGAATTGGGCAGTTGCGATGCTGAGCCTCGGAAGCCTTCTTTTCGATGCTGAAATAAAGGCGTGTTGACTGATCCTCTAGGAAGCAGGCCTTTCTTGCCAACTCGACCCATTTGCAAGTCAGCTCGACATGAGAGCACAATGTCGACTTGGAGAGGTCAAGTCTCTGACCATTCCTCGTCCAAAGGTACGGAGAGGGAGACAGAGAGAGAGGGAGTGAGAGAGGGAGAAATGGGGGGGAGGGGGGAGAGGGGGTGTGAGTAAGAGAGGGAGTGAGAGACGGAGAGGGACAGAGGGAGAGGGAGAGAGGGAGTGTGGGAGGGAATGAGAGAGGGTGAAGTGAGGGAGGGGGGAGGGAGAAGTGAGAGAGGGGGAGTATTAGAGAATGTGAGAGTAGAGCAAGATCTTTCCGTACCTTCAGAGGAACGGAAAGAATTGTCGATTTTTCTTACATTTTGCCGTTTTGGGATGCTGAAGCCTCCTTCACTGTGACTGCCACTTTTTATAGCTTTCTGAGCGATACTCACCCAAGGACCTAATCAGAGTGTTGAAACTGCCCAGGATGACAGGTAGAAATAGCAAGATAGTGAGTGATACTTGATTTCGCGTCGTTATTTCGACCATGAAACCAAGAATTTCGACTGCTGATCTTGTTTGGGAGCGAGTCTCTGGCTCAGTTGGTTCTCTTGCTGGAGAGCAAAGATCAACGGGAAATCAGGAATTGTTGGTTTCGCCTTCTGTTTTGCACCGGAAACCGGCCACCTCAGGGCGTTTCCGCTGAATAGGGTTGTGCAGCTTTGGTATGCCTATCGTCCAGTCTCGTTCAGCTGCGTCCTTTGGAGACTTTGTAACGGCAAAAAAGCCCATCTTCTTGATTCACGTAGCGTGCGTTCTTGCGTAGACGAACAGAAGCAACGTTCAGTGATTGTGAAGTGATGAGAAGGGAGACATTGAAGGAAGGGTAGAGGAAGGAAGGAAGGAAGGAAGGAAGGAAGGAAAGGAAGAAAGGGTAGAGGCAGGCAGGAAGAGAGGAAGGGCAGAGGGAGGTAGGAAGGAAGGGAGGAAAGGGTAGAAGATGGGAAGAAAGGGAAGGGGTGTGATCGGAGACAGGATGAAAAATAGTAGATGGAGTGGAGCCCACATGCTCTCGCACTGACCACCCTCTGACTGTGATCTCGCACAGTACAGACAGTACTATCACGTCCTCTCCTCCTAGAGTGGTCTCACTATTCTTGAAATTTGGACCAAAAGGGGATAATCATTAGAAACCATTGATCTGCCAAAAGCTAGAATGGCTGGATTATGCCGTTTTCCTGGTCTTGATTCCAAATACCCTGGTCTTGATTCCAAATACCCTGGTCTTGATTCCAAATACTGTGGCAGCCGGCCATTCGAAAGTGAGTCATTTTTGCAAAGTCAATATTTTAGTCTGGAGGGCAAGGTTCAACTCAAAGAGCCGTCGCCCCGAAGGAGACACACAATCCAAAATGCACCAAGGATCTGACCGTCGCAGGGTGATGTCTGCTCCTCAAACGGGGTAGGGGATTGGAAGATTTGGCATGGTTGTCACTCATCTCGTCCAGCTGTGTCTTTCGGTATTTGGTAGAGCAACATAGCCATGTCTGATCACGTCGCTAGAGTCGTGTCCTGTGGACTAACACAAGTGGAAAAGAGCCAGGAAGGACAGACAAGTGAGAGAGGGGGGAGAAGGAAGGGAGCCTTAGATTCTCGCACTGACCACTTTTCGCTCCCCTCGTCCTCTGACATGTGCTTGCACAAGACTGTACGTACGAACAGGACGGTCACACCCCTCTCAGGCGTCAGCATTGTCTCCTAACAACCCACTCCCTCTCTCGACCATCGCCTTCACTCACCATGGGCCTTCGAGACAACTCCTTACAATAAGGCAGAAGCTGGTACAGTACAGTACATTGGCCGGCCGTACAGTATTTTCGTCTTGTACACTGAATCTCGTCTGAGTCGGTGTCTCTCTGTCGTAGTCTGACATGGAGACTCTTGGAATGACAGATTCATGCTAAACATTCATCTGACATTGCCGGTAGAGGGTCGGTACGCCGATGATGCACCAGCTACGACAGTAGTGCCACGGCGTTCTCTTGTAAAGCAGATCGACTCTGGCACGAATGAGACCCCCATCCGAGGAGTGGCAGTACCAATGCTGCACACCAGGAAGGATGAGTCCTGGTTCATGGCGGTTGGCGATGTCCATGTCAAATGCGGTCTATTCCTAGCCGTTGTAAGAGCTCAGTGACTCGATCTTGAACAGTGATGTGCGTGCAGGTCTTGAATGCCTGCGGAGCTCCTCAAATCCACAAAATCCCAGGTACCGACAATCTCGAGTCGGACAGGCAATAATAACCCACGACAGTATTCATGCATCGACGAGATGTTTGCCGGCGCTTTTGAACCGCCTTGTTTGTAGACTATGAAGTATGTCATCCCCGAGTTGCATCTTGTTGAGTTTGGTAGCTGCTCTGCTCTTAATCTCGACAGCGGCTGAACACCAAATAGGCATGTATAGATAGAACATTGATGGCATTTTCCACATCTCAACAGCTTCATCTGCGTCACTGTCAATGAACTCAACCTTATCAGCCAGCGCACATTCTCTTGTGTGGCCATTGCCGACCAGTCTGCACCGCACCGTCGAAGCGATCGAGCTTGGTCTCCTTGTTTTCTCTCCAGGTGTATGAGCGGATAATGTCGAGAAGTCTTGTGAGGGAAGGCATCAGGTTGACAAGGAGGAGCGATCTAAACGGAAAAGAATGCAGCGGTCAGGGTCGTCGTACGGAGGGTACAAGCGAGGATAAGAAGAAGCAGGCAGGACGTGGGAACAGGCAAGGTTCCAGGGCCGAAAACGGTGAAGCGTCTGGAGACAAGTTTTGACAGGGTCGCGGTTTGCTGTTCTCGATGAGGGAGGTGACTGCTGTGGGCAAAAGCCATTAAAGAGAAGAGGGGTGGGAATTGGTGACGATGAGATTTGCTGGCCACTTGTCAGCGGAGCGGTATTGACTGGATCTAGTGTGTGTTCAACAGAGGAAGGCGTTCGTTTTATGCCAATACTTCAATCTGCAAAATCGACAGATAGATTCAAACAGTGAGGGTCTCAATGGATGGAACAGTTATCGGTCACTTAACTTCCTTCGCGCCCCAGAAAGCACACTTTGTCATTCAACCGGCAGAAGTGGGAGATAAGATGAGGGCGACAAGACTCGTCAAGAACTCGTCAAGAACTCGTCAAGATGACCGCCGGAGGTCGATGGTGTAAACAAAATAGCCTTGTCAAAAATAGCACGCACACACGTCATCGGCCAGTCTTCAACCCTTTGAGGATGGGCTCTCGAAAGCGAACTACCTATCCAGATGAGGTCGGCGGATGTAGTTCAAAAACTGCGTCGCGACACGCATGTGAACCGATGAGAGCAAGACGGGATTGAAGTGGTCGTGATTAACGGCGAGGCCTGTCTTGGCCTAGATGAATAAGCGCCCTCGGCAAGTCGCATGTGACACCCAACCTAGCCCGTTTGATTGGATGACAGTGCTACTCGCCTCAGCCTGCGCTCTTTCCTGTGCCAACGAACCCGAAGGCTTCGATTCTTCAAGAGACCGACATGACACAGTGCTGATTGATGCGAGAGCGCTTGCTCTCCTCTGTAACACATGGTCTCACCCGATACAGAGGCCACGAACGTGCAGAGTCACGAACAGGCCAAACTGCACGGTAAGAGCCTCGAACGACTGGGAACGCATGATCAATGGATCATTGACATTTTCTAGACAAACGACACGCCGTACAGAGCGACGACGGCGAACGTCCTCACAAGATCCGCCGCTTATCTGACCTTCAACAAGCCTCTCCAGCTTCTCTGGTGGAAGACTTCATTCCTGAGATCCCTCTTTCGAAGCTGCACAGTCAACTTCCATCTCCGTCTGCCACAAAAACCGACGACGTGAGTGGATGCAATGAAGGTCTCTACAGGAGGAAAGATGCTGACAAGGTGACGCAGTTACATCGTGAATCGTCTCCTGCCAACTCTCCCATACCAGAACGAAAGACAAGATCGCCGGATAGGCACACCGAGCGCGCATCCGCAAAGAGAGCCCGCTCGCCTCCAGAACCATCGGACAGCGGTGCATTTGTCGAGAAGTGGCTATCAAGCGTTCCACCTAGCGAGGAATGCGATATCGAAGACGACATGAGTCTGCCACCCTCGAAACGATCACGGTCATCGGATTCGTTAAGTCGCCGACCTTCGCAATCCGGTGACGGCACGGAATCCACGGTTTCAGCAGACAAGAAATACTCGGCCTACAAAGATGTGAACTACCCGGTGGTCTTGGAGACAAAAGGGAGTTTTATGCGGCCATCTGATGCTGGTCTCGTGAAGGAAGACAAGAGATTGTGCGAAATGCTTCTCACCACACACCAACCGCGTCCAGATCATTCATTATTTGATGACCGATTCAACAAATTCCAGACTTTGATTAGAGGCCGATCCGAAGCTCGAGTCTACCTAGACCTGCATCCCCTCCTCGTTCCCTCGGTTGAGAACCTGTACATTAGTGGTCGAGAAGAATTCCACGGTCTGATCGAAGGTCATAATGACCCTTGGGTCAAAGGAATTTCGTTTTATGGACCCCGACCGCAGCCGGACCGGACATACGGATTCAAATGGTCCAACTTTACCGAAGTCCAGCGCCGGAAGCTCCGCGTCGAACCTTTGGAGAAGTCGTACTACACGGCGCGCGAGGACATCTATTTTCCCTTCCTGACTAGCGAGGTGAAGTGTGGGAAGCAGGGGCTTGACTTAGCAGATCGACCGAATGCTCATAGCATGACCGTTGCCCTCCGGGGAATTGTGGACGTCTTTCGCAAGGCCAACCGTGCTTCGGAGGTGCACAGGAGGGCATTGGGATATTCCATCTCACATGACGACCGGAGCGTGCGTATCTATGCTCACTATCCTGAAGTGGACGGTGAGAACACGTTGTACTTTCGCGAAACGATCAAAGAACTCAACGTTGGAGACGAAAGGGGCGAACACAGATGGATCAGTCACCAATTTACACTCAACGTTTGCCAAATTTTCGCCCCAGATCTGCTCCGGCGACTGACCGCCGTGATCGATGAGCTGCCTGATCCGATTACAAGTACACTCGAGCCGGCCAACATCGATGACCTCAGCGTACAAAGCTCTCAGGATGACAGCAGTGCGCCCGAGTCCCAGGATGAAGGGTTTCGCAAACCGCAGCGAGGGAGAGGCTTGAATGCCGAGTTTCGAACCATGATTCAGAACCTGCAACGGCAGCTGGAGCAGCAACGAAAAGACTCTGAGCAGCAACGAAAAGACTCTGAGCAACAACGAAAAGAGCTTGTGCAATTGCTCAGACAGCAGAGTGATCAAATCAAGCAGCAAAATGAACAACTCAGACACCAAAGTGAACAGATCACAGAGCTTCTGCTGAAGCAGTGATGCGTCACAGTCTTTTCAGTGGCCATATCTTCTGCTGTTCAGCATGGCACCAAGGGTTCCCGCCGCCTATGATGGCCAATTTTGTACTACCACGACCTGCTTCTGATCTGGTCAAAATGAGAAGTATCAGTTCAGAGTCAAGTCCAAGATCACCTCGACTCTGCTTAAAATTTCACTTGACCGACGGGAGGACGACGAGGGTCTCGAAAGGAAGCCCAATGCCACCACACATCCGCGATTCGGGGCGTGGAGGTATCTGTTGCTCGGGACCCGACCAACTATCGGTTTTTCCCCTGGCCACCTGAAGTTAGTCTTCTTGGTTCGGCTGCAAAGGCGTAATCAGGCAACCTTTGCACCGTCTCCTCGAATGTCTCGAAGTGACCCCTATTCTTCGCATTAGGGCTCGAAGGCGCAGCTGGATTGGATACAGTGGACTCCAGATCCTGACGGGCACATAGCCTCTTTGTCATAATTACACCGATGTGTGGTGGCATCTTCGTGCCGCAGCATGCGTCATTGGGGCTGCTGGTCTACGGATATGTCAGGTACCATACGCTCAGGAGTCGACAATCCCCGGAAGCGAACCGCAAAGGCGCCTGACCAGGCTCGTGTAGCAGCTGTGAACCTACTAATTCTAGGGGTATAAGAATGCGCTCTAGCCCTGCTTTACCCGTCGTCCCTCTTTATATGTCTAACTCCTTACTCACACCGCCGTTCTCCAACAAGCGCAAGATGCAGCCTATTGTCGACATCAATCACTTCCTCAACGACGCTGATTTTGAAATTCAGGTCGAATACGAGTCGGTTATAGATGGTGCTTTCGACATGAGGAGGAAGTTCTCCTCCCTGTTGATGCAGGCGCGGCAATTGAAGACAATATTACTCGCTAAACAGGCTGAACTGGATCGTCGTATCGCTCAGCGTGGACGACAGCGACCAGGCGCTCCGAGTATTGCCGAAAGTACTCGGAAAAAGCTTCAACAGCAAACTCGCAAGTTGCGGCAGTGTATCAACGAGAACAGGCTGCTGCGCATTCAGAATCAAAAAATGAGCAATGATTTGGAAGCTACGCACAAGGAATTGGAAAAGATTGATCACTTACGGTGCACTCTCTGTATGGTGGCTTTTAAAACTACTATGATTCCATGCGGTCACAGTGCCTGCAGGGAATGTTTGGAATTCTGGCTTGGACAAGGCAAAGGCTGTCCTTGGTGCAAACGAGGATTCCAAGAAGGCGACATTCGGGATATTTATCTTGGGTCCAGTAATGAAACTCGGAACACCCAGGAGGATGATGACGACCAGACAGATATCATCTCGCTGAGCAGCGACAGTGAGTAGAACATGAGGTGCATACGGACAGCGTAACGCTATACAAGAACACACGGAAGACCTCTTGGATTCAATCTACGCTCTTAACCGCATCACCTGCTCGTATCATTCCTTCTTTACGACTTGTCCTTCCGTCACTGATTTCTATTCGCTTCTACGGATGACGGAAGCTGGCCCTGATAGTCAATCTGGCTTTCCGGAGTCTATTGAGGAGCAAATTGAGGCATCTAACGCATAGAAGACGACGATAATAGTGCAAGCTACTTTGCAATGAGTCGCCAGATTGCAACGCGAATCAAGTCTTCAATAACATCACTCCAGCACTGTCACCTTATTGCGTCAGGTCTTCCCCAAGCATGTATAATCCGAGACATTCTGTGATTCGCTATGTGCAGACGGCCACTGTGGCCATACTATCGATGGCATCGTGCGCACGAAAACGTCCGCCTTGTCCCAGATCAGGTGGTCGCTGTAGAAGACGAGGTTGACGAGGGCTAGGAGGGATTGAAGATTCCAGCTCTTGCTGGGGCACCGAGTCGACACAGACTCGAGACGAATGGACACGAGGATATAAAGCATGATCTTGATGATTTTCAGTACGAGGGTTTATGACACGACAGCATAATAAATTGTCACATGCTGTCAAAGTGCTCTTGAACTTGCCAGCAGGTATGGCGGACACCAGCTTTCCCGATATCTATCTTGGTCTCTCACTGACCAATTACTATCTAAACTCGCTGATAATGAGCAGCTGGGGTCGTCCGCTGCACAATTATGCAAGGCTAAAGGCATACTAAGATGCCGCATGCAAGAGCGTCCATCTAAAGTACGCTCTTAAGCTGCATGCTGTTTTCGCCCTGCCAATAAGATACCACCACGTTTCCTACTGGTTTGCGCGGGATCTTCTAATGCAAGTCATCTGATTAAACTCAATCCCATGAAGAATCAATAGCTTCAAAAGGACCAAAGAAAATGGAGCCGGTCTTGTCTCTCACGAAGATAGGTCAAATCGTGTTTGCTAACCGATGACAGCGGAAGTAGCATTTATCACATTCATCAACGATGTCGGGCGACCTTTCACGTTCCCTTATTCTAGCTGTCAGACATGGCTGGTGCGCTCCATGTGTGGAGGTCTGTCAGAAACTAACAAGAGCCTTGTCTAGGGTATGGAAACCCTTATAGCTGATGCTTGCCGGCAACCTCTGGCCGATATACGCCAAAGTCAGTTCGAGCTGTCAGGACCGGATGGAAACATCATCCTTCCAAGGATATGGGAGGCGACTCTTCAACCTAACTGGACGATCACCATACATTTCCGGCAGCCAGAAAATGAGGATCCTCAGCCGGAAAATGGCCGTGGCGACATCAGCGAGTATCGGACCGAACTGGATCGCCTGGAGAGACGTGTGTTAGATGATCGAGAAGAGTGGGCAAGGCAGAGAATGCAGGAAAGAGAACAGTGGGAGAGGGAGAGGGAGCGTGAAAGAGATCGTTGGGAGGAGGAGAGAGTGCGTGAAAAGAATGCCTGGGTGAGGGAGAGAGAGCGTGAGAGAGACCGCTGGGAACATGAGAGAGCTCAGGAAAGAATGCGATGGGAGAGAGAACAGGAGGAGAGTAGACGGCGTTGGGAGGAAACGCAGCAGACGGCAAGAGAAGTTTGCGAAGGGGAAAGATCAATGCCCCGAAGGTCAGCAATCAATGAAAACCTTTGTTTATGGTGGCTTGCAGGGAGGCCACCGAGAGACAGAAGACCCTGAATCGGTGGGCTTGGGTACCGTAACAAGGGAAAGACTACCTTGGAAAGGAGACCACGCAACCCCGCCAAGAAGTATCAATGTGGCCCAGTTGAAGGTTGTACTGTAAATACTCAATACGGCGCCGATGATGCTCTCAATCGCAGGATACTGCTTTCAAGGGGTCAAAGGGATCGACCTTGGCGGTGGACATGATATTTCGCCGAGGACGACGGCGAGACAGGCACCGTCGTGTTGGAACGGCTGAACCAGTTAACAACCCATCGAGAAATCAAGCCTCCGTGCCGCACCCGTAGAAATAGGAGTATAATTGTGAGCTACGTCAAGAAATGCTTTTCAAGACCATGTACTGTACAGCATAGATCATGATGGGAAAGAAGTCGTGAGTACCCTCCTGGACAAAAATCCGGACAGACAAGCCAAGACCTTTAGAAGCATTAGCCATATTAGGTGTAGTCGACCGTACGCCTTTATCACGCTCGAGCTCGGCATGTCGTGAATCAGGTTTTCAACCGACTCTAGGTTGGCCTGTAGCCTTATCTTCCACCGAAGTGCCTCTCGTTTCAATCGTTGCTCACGATCATTTTACACTTAACGGCGATATTGAAGTCTTCTTGCATGTGCCGCAGCTTGGTCCGCTATGTTTCGCGTTCGGTTGATGACTCGTTGATACTCCGCACGTTGCCTCCGCTCGCGTGCTTGTAGAAGATTTGATGCTTTGAGATTGGCGGCATCTTCCAGATCTTTGGCAAGCTGAGTTTGTTCTCGGGAGACCAGGTGTGATAAAGCAACAGCGGAGAAAGTGGTCATGGTGTGCAAGCACCATGATTGCTTCGCAATTGCTTTGATCTGGGAAAGATGTCAATATAAAATCTACGGTCTAGTCTCGCCCATATTTCTGTCTTGCAGTGGCTGACGGGCTATGTGTCAAAGCATGCTGAACCGTGCTCAACACCCTGCCAACGCAGGATGAGTATTCGTTCTGTGTGGTTCTGTTGATATTGCTTCGATGAACTGCCGCGTGACGGATTCTGCGTGAGATTTGTAAGTCTATCATGAATTGGTCTCTTCGATCTTGCATGATCCTGCAGTTCAACATAGATTGCCTATTGTTCAGACAATGGCGAGAAACATCGTTAATAAGGAGTGTCAGCTCTGCAGCCTGTGGGCAGATCCATGATCGAGTCGAGAGTATATCTGGGGCCACTGCCTCACAAAATGTGAATAGCGCATGTTCGAGATCATTCTGCCATTGGGCTAGTAGTAGATGAGTTTTGAGAAAGCTATACGAGTCATGTTAGCTCTCCGAATATGACTGGGTATAGACAAGAACGTACCTGCATCCACCAAAATACTGTGAGACTACCTGAGCCTCAATCTCTGTTCCGCCCGGCATAATGATCACGAGTAGTATTGAAGTCTTGGTGTTTGCGTGATTGATAATCGAATAAGTTCACTTTCAGGACCTGAGCCTCCTTTTTAAGATGTCGAACCGGCGAAGTACTCTAAGATTTCAGCTCTCAACTCAGAAGCCGTGTCCTGTTTGGTGACCGATACAGCGACCACTTGTGGGTTTTCTCCTTCCCGTGTTATAATTTGTTCGTGTGACTTTTCTGGGAGGCCAAATGGTAGTCCATCGTAGCATGAGAGGTTGTGGGGTTGAAAGAGGCATTGTGAGCCCTTGATTGAAGAGGTCAGAAGGCCAACCGAAGCAACCGTCCAGGCCAAGACAGATAGACTGATGTAGACGGTGTTGGAGGCTGTACGTACAGTACATGCCCTCACGCATGCATGAAGAGTCACGTGGGAGGAGGAAATTGATTTCGGAGAGTCGTTAGCCGCGACCGTCGCAAAACCACTAACGCCACTCTAGGCAGGCCACGACATCTTCCTGTGCGTGAACTGTGCCCGCCAAACCTTCCTTTCACGGCGTGTGCCTCGTCGGTCAAAAGGTCAGGTCGTGACACTCTTGTTTCCAGTTACTTCATAAGATATTGATTGATCATGACTATCCTCGAATACAATCCCTGGGAAATAGAGGCTAATATTTCAGCGTTGATTCCGCTGCCGTCAAGACATATATCACTCTTTAACCGTGTCACCGGGCCACCTCGCGCCTCAGGCCAACCAGTCATCATCTGTTTCACTGGAGCAGGCGCTCCGATAGCAGTCTCCATCACTTGTACCTCGAGCTCCTCGGCCTGCTTCCATTGGCTTTGATTTCGGTACGTCGATGCCAGGTTGTCGAGTCGCTCGGGTATACTGCCTTGTATTTTCTTCATGATCCCTTCCTTGGCAAAGCCCGAAAGCCTCAAACCGGCAGGAAAAGTTCACGCTTGTTTTCGACCGAAAAAAGACGATCAAGGTAGCCTAATTATGCCATGGTCTGCTGCGGAGTTTACCACGTATATGAACTATATTCGTGGATCGGATGATCAGGGCCAGCCCGATTACAAGTATCTCTGGAATTTATTCAGCCGCCTTTTTCGCCGCAAAGGTTTCAAGTATGACAATGTTGACGTCACAGCCTGTCCTTGGCCTAGGTGATCAAGCGCCATCAGCAAGTCGCACGTGACAGTGAACCTAACCCACTTAGGAGGTATGTTTCGGGGTTGTCGGGCAGTGAGCGCTCCGAGCGTAATGAAGAACATCATAGCTTCGGGGTTAATCGGCTTGCCAGCCACTTATTTCCGATGGCTGAGTTTACATGAATGCCGCAAGTCCAACTATTTTGACGATGAGTTAGCCTTGAATGCTGCGTCGAATATAATATGCCAGACTTCGGTACCGAAAGCACGGGTCAAGAAGTTGTTGACGCATACCCAGAGAATGTCAGAGACCGTATCAGTATGCCGGACCTTCTCCTATCATTTTAGACATGGAGAATGTCCTTTCTGACTTCTCAAGTCGTCATCACAGGTGCAACAGGCCATAGCATCGGTAGCGCAGCTACTCTTGCTTTCGCCTCTGCAGCCCCCCGCCAGTTGATTCTAGTTAATCGGAACCTGGAAAAATCGAAACGGCTGATCAGTTTAATCCACGAGAAAGCCCCTTCGGTATCCGCCATCTTCATCAAATGTGATCTATCTAGTCTGGAGTCAGTAAAGCAGGCCGCTCTGGAGATATCTCGTTCTGTCCCACACGTCGATATCCTGATTAACAATGCAGCAACTGTACCAGGGCCATACTCACAGACAGAAGATGGTATCGAAAGTCAATTTGCAGTTGACTACGTTGCGCATTTCCTGCTGACAAACCTCTTGATGCCAAAACTTCTTGCGGCGGGACCTGGGACGCGGGTCGTTAATGTTGCTTCTTCTGCTGTTCGTCACCGGACTCATGCCAAATTCGACGACTATAATTTCTCAGATGGAGACACATACACGGCATTCGACGGGTACATACAAGCAAAATTAGCCCTTGTTCTCTTCTCTATTGCTCTAGCAAAGAGAATGGAGACACACAACATGCAAGCTTACTCGCTGCATCCCGGGTCCATCTCAAGTGAAATGCGAGCGAGCGTTTCGCTTGACGACTGGCAGGCGTCGGAGAAAAGGAGAACAGAGGCTGGCACCAAAACGGAGGGCACAAGGAAGAAAACTGTAGAGGAAGGATGTGCGACCATGTTGGTCGCAGCCCTGGATCCGCGCATAGCACATCAGAGCGGGGCGTATCTGAAAGATGGAGCAGTCGCTACCGAGTTCATTCCGGTGGTTGATGGAAACTCTGAGGAGAACTCGGAAACCCTCTGGAAAATTACTGAACGGTTGCTAAGGAGCGACTTTACTTGGCCATGAGGAATGTGGGCGTTTCTATTTCGTCACATACCAAGAATGACAATTGCTTCTCGGTAACTCGTTTCAATGTCAAGCTTTGAAATTTGTAACTTTATAATGGAAGTCCTCTTTTACATACTACGTGTTACTTGCTTCAACATATTCACTTTATTCGTATTCGCATAGGTGAATATGAATATGGGTCATGATTGATTGATTGATTGATTGATTCATAGTCTGTCCCAACCGCCCTAGGGCAGTTATGCAGCGTCCAGCTATAAATACAAGTGTTCCCACCATCTCGCTTCCATGAAAACAAGCCGTCCCTGCCCAGAACAGCTTCCTGCTTTGGCTCCAGCGCAGTAACCCTATATCTATAGTTCTAATAATCGTCCTGTATCTGTGCACTTGTTAGACCTTTCCAGTAGAAACCCTGAAGTGAAAACAAGTGTGATGATATTGGGAACTACCTATGAGGGTACGGAAGTTACTTATAGCCTTAGCCTGGGCCACCACCGTTTCGTCCTGCACATGACCCTGACGGGCCGCCGCCAACGACCATAGTCTTGCCTGCGGAGGTTAAGGATATCGTCATGCTCCAGAAGGGCTGCGCTGACCCAGAGATCTACAAGTACACCCACCAGTTGAACCACCCTCTACCGGTGGCGGAAATGCGCTCAGCCACGGAGGTTTGGCTTCCCCGATGGAGAGACTTAGCGGCGTCTGTGGTCGTTCCAGTGATGATTGGATTTGCAGGTGACGATCTAATGTGGAAAAGCACCGAGGAGCATCTACAGGAATTCTCAGGTGCCTTTCTGCGGAGCGAACGAGTGGATGGCTGCATCATCACAGGGGCGCCACACAACATGGAAATGAGCTATTGGGCCACGGGATGGTATGCTCGATGCTTTGGGTTCGCGCTGGAGTGTGCAGCTAGGTTCGAGCAGAAGAAATGTTTATCTCAGGTTTGAGGGAGAGACTCTCCTCACGGGCATCAGAGAGCTAGAGGTCGCCTCATGTTGGAAGCCAGCCAGGTGCTAGAGCAGACCAGAGCACAAGATCGACTCGTAGAGCTTGAAGCGGCCTGAGGACAGAATTTCTTCCCCGGACATTCCCAGCCAGATAGTCTGTACGTATGTATCCCCGGATATCACTCCCAAGGTTTATTCTCGGACCGGAAGTGGGCATATCAATCTAGTGCACTGTCCCTGCCGGCGGGGTCTCCAGGCTCTGACTCATCAACGAGCTTGGCATCGGGGGGGTTGGAAGCGCCCGGAATCTCATCAAACCTCCGAGGTTTGCTTCCTTAGGCTCTCGGACGGGGCATAGGCCTACAAACAACCGGAGAACTGGCACCAAATGCTGCTTGTCTACGGTAAAAGCTGGGTAACGTAGGTGAAACCAGAAACTTTCGAGTGGAAAGACTGTGAACGATCCGAATATCTATTTTGTATCTGTATATCGTCTCAGGCCTTTCCCGGCCCTCCTCGTCTTCTGTGTGACAATTCACTCGTCTGCGCCGGTGTATAGTTGGGCCGTGAACGGACTTTGTCCGGAGCATTCGTCCATTCCGCGTTCTGCTTGGATGGGTCGCTGTCGCTGGGGGCCCTGCCGAGCGCCTGGCTGGCCCCAGTGCGATAGCCACTGGTTGAGAGTGCGCTGCATGAAGTGCAGATGTACTGTATGGGAAGTACGTGTAGTGTGCGAGGCTTGCTCGTAGATCCTCCTCCGGTCAATGCTCGCTTTCGACCATCGAGACACAATCAGCGACCGGACGCGTCGCAAGCGCGTCCTTGGCGTGGATGGCGTGCCGCGGTGTCGGCAAGCTGTGGAAGCGGCAGTGTGTGATGCGTCTGGATGGTATTTTCTGAGCTATGGGTGGTGTTGGTAGTGATCGCATGATTCGGTATGGTGACTTCCTGAAGTGTGTCCTCCGTGTGATGGACCATCTCTTCCCCGTCAACTCCGCCCCTTCACCGTGTACTGGGTAAGAAGTACAGGAGGGTCGAGGACAAGGCAAATGGTGGCAAGTCGTCGGCAAGTCCTGTTTGCATTCTTCCCTAAGTTGACCTCTGAGAGACTTCCCACCTGGCATCATGGCACCTACTACTTCAGAGTCCACGACAAATGGACAGTTCCAACGAGGTGATCTGCCGATAAGCTTCTGCGAAAAGGGTTTCAGCGACGACCGTGGCGATCGCCACGAGAGCTACTCCGCATGTGGCTTAGACGATTTTTGGCTGTACGAGCGGGCCAACTGGGAAATGCTAAAGCCGTCGGGTGACGCGTCATAGATGAAATTACAACCTGATCTCAAGCTCTCGCAGACGCTGACTCCACCGAGCACGTGCACTTCCCAACCTGACAAAGTAATAATGTCGCTGATGCCGGTCTTGCCTATAGGTTGTACATCATCCATGACGAACCCTGCAAAGAGTAGCATGTATCATGAGCTGCATTCTGAAGAAGGATACGTGGAGAACACGACCAAGGGCGTTTAAGCCGAAAGTTAGGACCGGTTGTAAAACTTGCAAGTACGAGACTGAAACGGCTCCGTAAACAGAACGCAAAGCCAACGAACAATGCTGACGAACGATCCAGAATTCGTCGGATCAAATGTGACGAACACAAGCCTGCCTGTGTGAAATGTCGTTCCACGGGACGCCAGTGCGACGGTTATGACGAAAACACAGGGAGGCCCTCAATTATACAGCCACAGGACCGTTGCCATCTCCAAGGGCTGTCTCCCCAAGGCAACCTTTATCCTATGAGGGCACCTCCCCAGCACTGGGATCGAAGCGCTCTCCAGTTCTTCCAAATTCGTACCATTGCCAACCTGTCTGGCTACTTTAGGTCAGAGTTATGGGAACGCTATGTCCTTCAACTCTCCGTACTCGAGCCGAGTGTCTTTCACGCCACGGTTGCACTGGGCAGTTTGCATCGGTGGTATGTGTACGGAAAGCCTCCCAATCCAGACCCTTCGGCATTTCACCATTATAACAAAGCCATTCATCACCTCTTGCGTCCGATGAACGCGTTGGCAAAGTCCGTTGTCCTGGTTGTATGTTATGTGCTTAGCGCTTTTGAAGCACTGTGTGGAGACTACAATGCATCTTTTCAGCACGTCTGTAGCGGCATCAGACTACTCCGCGAGCCGAATACCATCGGCTATCGAAATTACCTCCCAAGGACCACAAGAACCCAGCATTCCCACCACGATGATGAAATTGAAGAAATCCTCCTTATTCATTTCTCACGTCTTGATCTTCAAGCCTCAAGCTTTCATCCCGCATGGACTATCTCAATGACGGAGCCTGACCCCATTTCTCGTATCCACTCGGAGGTTCCTATATCAAGCCTTGAGGAAGCAAGAGAACGTCTTACTGCGCTGCTTTTGCAAGTGATGGATTACAAGAGAGGCAGAGAGAAAGACGCGAATCATCAAGCCGCAGATAGTGATATCTGGCGAATTAGAATTGGGCAGAGTCTCTCCCAGTGGTGGGACGCAATGGAGGCATGGTTGTTACAGGAGCACAATTCCTTAAGCTCAAAAGAGCACAATGGAATTACGTGCCTCCGAATCCTTTATCTGACTGGATACATCCTTCTGACCGTGCCTCGAGGGGCGGAAGAAATCCTGTATGACAACCTCCGTGACGAGTTCTCGAAGATTGTCGAATATGCTTCTGTTCTAGCACTAGCGCCAGAAGACGACAGTGAGCACAGCTGTTCGCATGAACTCGGCATCTTACCTGGTCTATATCTGACTGGAACCAAATGCCGTGATCCTACCCTCCGACGTCGGGCATTGGCACTTCTGACATCTTGCCGAAGGAGGGAGGGCGTTTGGGACAGTGAGTCGGCCGCGAAGGTTGTATCTAGGATCATTTCCATCGAAGAGAAAAGCGGCAAGGTACATAGCTGTAGAGATGTTGTTGAGGGGAGCCGAGTGAGGGACACCTGGCTCCTGAAACCATCCAACATGGGCAGACATGCTCCTCTTGTGCTCACCCGCAGATCACGGCCAGACGCTGCATTGGAGATTATTGAGGAGCAAATTCAATGGTAATCTTGGAGTCTTGTCCAACAACCTCAGATAGGCCCTATAATAATAACGCCTCTCCCTTACTCTTCCCGTTCCACTTGAAGCTTCAGAACTGAAGTACTCTTCCAGCTTCACATTTCTTGCCGACGGTCACTAACTAGAAGTCTAGACGCTCAAATGCAGCACTTAAAAAACCTGCCTTTTGGCCGCGTAGCTGGAGGGTTATCGGTGGAGTCTCCTAGCACAAGAGGTAACCTTGGAAATTGCCCTTGTCAGCTGTAAAGTTCTTATACCAACACATCTGTAGTCAATCGTGATCTGGTAAAACCGTCTTGCAATCAATACATTTATTTACAGATCGCAAGAACAGCTCACTCCGGCAGCTACAAAGCCACACCAAACATTCGGCCGAAAACACCTTCGGGTAGCATTATACTGAGCCAGTAATCGTAAAAGCAAACACCATTGCCACCATCAGCATTAAACCTTTCGTGGTCCACGCGAGCAGATGTCCGGGAGCAGAAGAAGTGGACGGAGTAGTTTTCGTTGGTGACGACGAGTTCCCACCTGAAGAGCCAGTGCCATTAGTCCGTGCTGCGAACCTCATCTCCGTCTTTCCAAAGTCAAACACCGCAATGACATTTTTCAAAAAAGACGCACCAACAATACCGCCGTGCAGCTGAACGCCTTCGTAAGACACGCCGGCGAACGAGATCAAGGAGGAGACGCAGCTGCCGCCACCCATGTCGAGGATCAGATCCCGTCCATCGTGGAAGAATGTCTGGTTTCCAATGCTGAACCCGAGGGTCGGAGCGGTCGCGTTGCAGGCAACTTTATATGTTGGTGGGTAGCTTGTTGGGTCCAGCACGGCCGGAGGTGAAAAGTGACTGTTGACCAGGTCGGCAAGGTTGTTGGGAAGGAAGTTAAACCAGTTACCTGAGTCGACCACGGCCAAGAACTGAGTCGAGTTTGTGGTGAGGGTGTGGGAACGGTCAGCCCTGGGACCGTACACAACACTGTCAACGTTGACAGACCACCATGAGGGCTGGGCTTTGTTGTTTGTGATGTTGACGGGAAGAGGAGTATTTTGGACGGGGGCAACGGAGAAGTTCACGGAGTGTGGCACTGGAGGAAGGCTGCCGAAGGTGAGATAACCGCCTGGCCCAGAAACATCACCCTGTGGTATCCTTTCCAAAGCCAAACTGAAGTAAGGCTCGCACTGTCCATCTTCATATAGGCTGTTAAAGAATGGGCTGTATATCACTCGGTCATAATCGTAAGTGTCGTTGGACTGATTCAGAACGGATCCAGGGTGTGCAGAAGTCCAGACGGGATATGCCAATCCGAAAATACCGCTGACAGTTCCATCAAGAGCATTAGATGACACGTTAGCAACGCCAATGGTCTGGCCTTTCACTGTGGCGCCACCAATGGTCACGTCTTCTTTCCCGAGAATTCCGCTCTGACGCCCGTTACCCATTATCTCTCCATAAAATTCGTCCGGGACCTCTTGGAATGTCGAATCTGGGTGATACGTTTCCGGACCCAGACCACAATTCTCTCGGGGTAGGATGGCATTACTGGTGTCGTTGACACATATCCAGTCGTCCTGCACAACCCAAAGGTCTGAGCTGCCAGTATCCACTAACAAGGGGAATGTTTGATCTCCGCCCAACGTCACGTTGACGGCGAAGGTCGTGCCGTAGGCATTGGCCTGGAGCTTAGCAGTGAAACTCTGCAGTGTGCTGTCGGTTGAATGCTTCGTGGCGTGCAACTCGGCCACTGTAGGAATGATCGAGGCAGCGCTAAAACGTGATAAGATGATGGGAAGGGATAATATGAGCAAATGGGAACGCATATTGGTAGACGTAACAGCTGATTTTCTCCGAACAAAGAGGACCGAGATGTGGTGCTCAAGATAGACCGGTCTTAAATAGTGCCATACCTTCTAGACAAAATCTGCTTCCAGGTGTGCGGCTTAGTTTATGTAGGTAATTTACCTTGGCCCGCCTTAACGGGTGGGGCCCACCCCTCAATCACAGGTATTCACTACGCTTCTCCATAATGAGACCATCTACTTCGTGATTCGTTGCTTCGTTAAGCATACGAGGATCCGCAATCTCAGCCTCACTTCTCAATGCTGATCGCTGGCTGCTGAAAGGTTTCAGGCTTTCTATCAATAGCGTACGACAATATTTGTGCAGTCGCCTACGAAACACCCGTACGAAACAATTGTGACTTTTATGGACAAACGCAGCCCGAGTTATCACATCATCAATACTGCGCCACTTCTCAAGCCGACTTTAAGTAAGGGTTCGCCGATAGACTCCTCTACGTTCTGGTAACCCACCATATTATGGCCGCAGTCACTCCCCTGGGACCTGCCGACACGGGATTCGTAGCACTTTGAAAGCTTCGCAGCTTCACATCTGTCGACGGCTGCGCGTAATTGGGTGACAACGAACAACATTTACGGTAGGGTACGATAGGTAGCTATGTAGTTTAATACAATGCAGCTCATAGTAAACCAATCATTTATCAATTCTGAGTCAGGTCCAAGTGCTTTTCTGGCTTGTAAGTCAAAATGCATCATGACTTCTCCATCTTCGTCCGACAGCTCGACCTGACTAAGCCCAAGCCGCTTATAGAATTTAAACGGCGATCCGGTTTCACATTAGCTTTCCTTACGGCGGCGTAGACATAACCCCCAATTCTTTTGCCAGCTGATTGTGCTCTCGAACATGCGCAATGGACCTTACTATTACCGGTCGCCTGTAAGCCATACCCTGAAGACGTTGATCGGTCATAAAGCGCCAGATATGATATGCTTCCTCGGGATCCCAAATCGCCATCATGAGGAAGCCATCAATCGTATCGCCGGCGTAAACAGCACGCACCCACGCGTCTTCAAAGTAGTGAGACTTCAGAAGTGACATAGAGTTACTAGCGAGGTCCCTGTATTGCTTCTCGTGCAGGCTGAGACGCGTAACGGTAAAGCGGAGTCTCTACTGGGTCGCGCCTCTGTGTGAGGATGATGGCCAACCATTTTCAAGGGATAGGCTATAAATGGCCTAGCATAATCTTGATAAGTATATATGAGTCATAAACGGAGGCAGTATTCAGTGTTCAAAGACTGCTTCGTGGTGAATGAGTGATCCATCAAGTCTAGTCAGGCTTAATTCATCGTTTGCAGAAGAGGCATGTGTTTGAGGTTTAAGCCCGACGAGCTATTACGGTGGTCATTAAAGTCATCAGTCATGCATTCCATTGAGTCTGTATGAGTGTCTTTGACACGTAGTCTGAGAAGGCAAATAATCCGCTCCCGGATCTGCCGAATCGGTGATTCATCCTCCATTGGAGACAGGTCAAGCCACTGATCGTCTGGGTCACCCAAGCCCGCGTCATGAGCACTTTTTACCCATCTTGGCTTCTGCCGAGAAACCCGCGACCCAAGACAATATTTGGAGCTTTTCAGAAGTCGCTTCGACTGAACTGTAAGGGAATTTAACTATTCAACAGTAGGGATATGGTTAAGACTCCCACGTTGGGAAAATTCGACCCTACCTTCGGCTGTTAAGCGTTATACCGGCCGCTTCAAACGTATCCGTTCTCACCACGTGTTCCGGCAACAATGATCCAAATTCGACCAGCGACAAAGAGCGAAATCCCAACAGTCTCCAATATTGCCGCCACAGCTTTCTGGAACCATCCTGATGTAGTAAGGTACTATCCCAAGCGCGGAAAACATCCCCAAGCATTTGTTCATGGTTACGAACGTGTGTTGGAGGAACATCTCTACAGCTCTGGCGCCCGTTTACTGATTGCTATCCATGTTCCTGATGGTCCCACAAATGAAAACGCCTCCAAATCAATTGTGGGCTTTGCTGCGTGGCAGCGGTATGGCGACAGCGATTGCGCCGAGGAGTGGAAGAAACGCTCCTGGAGCACACGATTATTCTCGGCTTTGCTGACGGTGCGGAATTTCGCCACAATTGACCGATCATATTTGGGACCCTTGCAAAGGTGGCAGCTACATCGCAAATCTACGGAGACGGAAGAAGAAATTGGTGATGTGCGAGTCAAGGAAACCGAGGATCACTGGTGTCTTCATGTTCTTGCCGTGCACCCTGAATGGCAAGATAAGGGAGTCGGAACTGCACTCCTAGATTGGGGCGTGAAGGAAGCCATGCGAGAGGAAGTCCCCCTCCTGCTCTGGGCATCAGTGGTTGTAGAAGGGTTCTATCGCGCCCATGGATTCACCCATATTAAAAAAGTATCAAGGAATGGAGAAGATGTTGATTACCTGATGGCTAAACTAGCGACTAGAGTGGGTGATGCAGGTGTTGAGGGCTACAATGCTGTTGCTAAAGTTGAAATCACAGAAGATGATATATCAACGAGGTGAGAGTATTAGAAGGGCGTCTTCCATGGATCCTGTATCTGACAACATGTCACGGCAATTGTGACATGCCCAAGAGCTGATATTTGTGGTACTCTAGCACATGGTCCTACGGTAGCTAATGCTCTTGGTGCTGGCAATGATTTCGAAAGATGTTGGCAGCACGAGAAACGTTGAGACACTGGAGAACTTAGGGGGTCCAGAGTACAGTTAGGGAGAAAGTATAAGAACAAACCGTCATCCGAACTAGACTCTATGGAAGGTTGTCCAAGTTGCGTGGTATCCAAGATTCGCGGAGTGGGGTCTTCAAGGTAGGGTGTGCGTCGGGCAGCCATTGTTTTCTACATCAGGCTTTTCTAGCGATGTCCTGAAGCTTGCGAAACCGCCCGAGTTAAATGACGCCGCTGAAAATGTGTGCCGATGCGGTGTTTCACCAGAAAGTCCTCGCGGCGCGGGCGTGTACCAAGGAGGCTCTCTTCTTCGTTTTCTGCGTACCCTGGCGATCAAGAGAACGATCCTGGTGGCAATTAAGAGAATCCAAGAGGTTATGAGAACCGCGCCCACTCCAATGGCCATAATTTTCATAGCTCCCAGGACGATTTCAAGTAGATACGCCGCACCAGATGCCTGCCAAAGCCAGTAGGACAGTTCGCTGGCCCCCTTAGCCAACCACGACGGTGCTTTTGCCAGCAGTCTCCTGAGAGTACATCCGGCTTGCTCGCATGCCGAGCCCTGCTTCCACGCAGTAAGGGACTCTTTCCCGACAGAGAACACATGCGAGAGAGGCATCAACGCAGCGGGAGGCATTCTTTGGCAGAATCCGCATGTCCGTGAGTTTGAAATGCGGGAAACGGTGTTCAACGGGCGCAGATCGAGATCTCGTCTAACCTTCCCTATTGACCTTCTCACAGCCGGCCTTCACACTGCCAACTTCTCTGGCCACTGGTGTCGTCTTAAACGAGGAAGCGTAATCCCTAAGCAGCTTCTTCGTATCTGATCTTGCTGCAGTTTCGTCGTCACTGATTTCACCGGCGAAATTCTGAAGATCGCTTGACTGGGATGTGATGCGCTTGGCAGACAGCCCTGGTGAACTTGATTTTTGCAACGAAGTTCGTTCTTCTTTGGAAGCTTTATACGAACTAAAGTCAACCTTGGGAGGCAGATCCCTGCCGATAGCCTTTTCGAGATCAGCCTTCGCCCTTTCACTGGTATAATCCTCGACAACTGACGATTTCACTGGAGCTGACGAAGAGTATGCAGGTTTTTGTTCCATGATTTTGCACTGATCGGATACAGAAAATGGTCCCAACTTTTTGATCGGAGACGATTTAGGTCGTAGATGTCTAGTTCAGAAGAGGTCAAACAGGGTTGTTGTTGTGACACAAGCCTCCATTTTGAGCGCAGTCGAAATAATGCGTAGGCAAAAGAGAGAGAACTTTCTAGCATGGAAGTGTGGGGTGAATTGCCGGTTTTCACCACACAACTTGACTTCCGTTAAAGACGGGTTGCTCTGCCTGTGGGTGATATCCCTTTTACGCCTCCCATTGATCGGCACTCGGGGAAAGCCTCTCCATGTTACAGCTGTTCAATCTTTTAGGAAGTAGATAAGCTCTCGGCATCAGTTTCGACCCCGATTAGACGAATAGGAAGGCATTCCGTCCTATATGCCCGTTTAGATCCACCAAGCCCGCGGATATCCTTGAATCATACTTGAAGGCGATTCTGCTGCGGATTTCTGTTGTATCAACTACAATGCAGTTCGTGATATGTCTGACTAGCTACCTTAGAGTAATTCGACGATTTAATCTTCCCTCTAACACCGCTAAACGATTGAGGCACAGTGATGAGGAATACCAGGGTGTTCTTGCTCGGCATAACGACGACTGCTCTCGCTCTCAATTGGCTTCGTCTCATCTTCATAACTGGAAGAGAGATGTGGAATCTCCTGACCTCTCATGACGAAATGCACAGTGGACCTGAAAGCGAAACGATCGATCTCGTGTTCTCGCAGGCTCCATCGCACGGTATGTAATACATCGAACTCTTTCGAGCCAGCCCATTTAGAATGACCGTATCATCAGGGGAGCTGAGTGTACCTTGAATGTCTGCTAACTTGATGTTGAAATTCTCGTCAGGTAATGTATCCGGGCCAGAGATCCCCCTGATAGACACTTTGAACATGGATATGCACTAGGCCTACTGCAATTCGAATACGATGCGTCATGGTGAGAGAACTTTGATAGGAAAGGGTATTAGTCCATCCTTGTCAAGTCTTCTTGACTCGATAATTCGTGGGTGTTGACCAAAATGTTCCAGCAACTTCTGCCTCTGAAAAAGCCCGCGTCCCCTTGGGGAACATATGCTAGACGCCGAAAACTCGTGCATACCATTTCTCTGCTTGTACAGAACGGTTGTCATCCGTTGCCAAGCTCTTCAAAAGTTTGGTCAACGGAATCATCCCCTTCGCTAACTGTGTCCTCAATGAATTCGCCTGTTTGAACTGCTGCCCGAGTAACTTGTGTAAATCTACCCAGAGACTGAAGGTGATAGCGTATTTGAGACAAAGAAACTCCACTTCGGATACAATCCAGTAATCCACCTGTTTCTTCCTTGCTCCCGTAGCGAATTACCGTTAAAATGGAATTCAAGAGTGATTGGATTTCAAGAAGTTCATCCAGGTACCTTCGACTCTGTGTACCGTCGGGCGGGTCCTTTGAGCGTCCTTGTTGGCTGAGCTGGCAGGGAATAGGATTCCCACTAGAGATGCCCTTGTCATGCTTAGGGGGTATCTTGCTCTTTGTAGAAGTTACTTACCAGGCCGGACGCTTTCGGGTCGATGTTATCATTCTGTCCGGATGCCATTTCTCGAAGGTAGCGTGGCAGTAGAATGTGCGTCAGGAAAAGTCTAGTAGACTGCCGATTATGCTCAGCTTTCGATAGCTTCGTAGTAAATTTATACCCAAAGTGGCGTCCAACTGTACATTGACAGTATTATAAGCTCTAAAAGTACGAGTCTACATCCACTGTCGTGTTAGATCTTGCTACTTCAAGTACGTAGACCAGGGGAATGCCGTCACACTTACTCGCGCTATGACGTCACTCGAGGAGATCTTGGAAATTCCAACCCTCATTAGCATACGGTATGTCCCAGGGACGCTTCTGACCAGTCCAATGTCCTTATAATGAGGTTAGTAAATAGCTTTCTTCAGCGTCGAAAAAAAACATCTTAAATAGCCTCACAATTTGACGCTCTTATAATCGCGGAGTGCTTCGGGCGTCCACCAAGAATCTAGGAACTACGCCTACCCTACCTCGACCACTACCCTCCAAAATGGCTAGATTGGTCGGCATGTAGCATAATCCCAGAAGAGAGGCAGGGAAAAGGGATTGATGCCTTGGTGGGACATTACATTTTAAGAATGACCTGGCTGGGTCTGAATGCCTGGGTTTCACATCCCGCTGTCGGGGACATTGTCCTTTGACTTGTGCCCTCGATGTGACAGACGTGGAATTCTCCCCAGGCGCATTGGCCGGGACACCTTCCCGTCCGTTAATCGGAGTCGAAAATGATGGCCAACGTGTCGGTGAAGACTTCCACAGAAGCGACATATGAATCCAATTGAGGATTAGCAAGCCCCACGCATCCCTATGATATCAGACCTTCACGGACCAAACTGGGCTGATCATATTACGTCACATCTAGTGTGCAACTCTTATCTCATCAGACTTCCCTGTTGCATAGATAGAACATCGTTGTAATTGCCTCAACGACTAACCGCCCATATATACCATGCCAATGTCAAGATTAAAGGCGCGCACCCGTGGAGGAGATGGCGGTGGACGGAATAGTCGGACCCGTCGTGCGTGCGACAGATGCAGACTCAAGAAGGCCAAGGTAGTCCTGTTCTCGCTTTCTTTGGTAAGATTCTAATTCGAACAGTGCGACGGCAATCCGAAGTGTGAAACTTGTCACACAAGTGACAGTGCCTGTACTTACTCCATCAGAAGGAAAATAGAAGCCAGAACCTAGTAAGTCAGCCAGAAACTACCAAACTATTGAATGCCAACGGTCGCTAGTTATTCTCGAATGCAAGGAGTGACGGATATAGCACTTCAACAGCTATACTGGGCATGCCGGCAGAAATCCGGGTTTCCAGGAAAGCTTCCAGATGAATCGACTGGCGCCGTTACCACGGACGCAATTCTTGAAGGACTTGGTCTCCTTAGACCGTTACTTGGAGGTCGTCAATCCCTATTTACAACTGAGGGACAACCGTATGATAAAGATATTCCGGATTCAGACAAATCGTGCGACCATTTGCGAATATCATTTGCTGAAGGCGACTCCGCTCAAAGCAGTCCAATCACAGTCTCATCCTCCTCCTTTGACGCTCCCCCGTCCACATATAGAGGAACGCCCGCCTGTGGCTCTTCTGGTCAGTCAGTGTTTGCTTGCAAAGAGAACTTCAATATGGAGACAAACACTTCCCTGCCAAGCGTGGTCACAGCGGCTCAGGCCCCGATCCACGACCCTGTTACTCAGCATGATGCGGCGCAAATTGTGGACAGGAATGATTCACAGGATACTGACTCATATACCGTTGCCCCCGGGTTTAAGCCAGCCGACCTTGCCCCAGAGATGAAGGGCAGGGACTCATGTCAAGTCAAGCAACTGGAGAGACGTGCTTTTGACAACTGTGTGGCTCTAGAAGGGATCATGTTTGATAGCTATTTAGCCCCGTGGCCTGGATCCTTAGCTGCGGCTTTCCAGTCAGTTCACTCTGCCTAAGCAGCGAATTAAAAAGGAGTAGGGTAGAAGGCGGAGTGCAAATACATGAAATTTTGCTTGCTTTAAATTTCTGTCAACATTAAAACTGCCGATCCTCAGGTATCAGGATCCAACCAGCAGGCCCTTCTAGATCACACATGTTCTCGAGCCGTATAGATCATCTTTTCGACACGAGCTTCTCAGTGGAAAATCCCATGGATGGTGAATTGGATGGCCGAACTCAAACAGACAATCCACTCGTGACCATATTCTGCGAGTTACCTTTGTTAAAAACCAAATGTCTCCAAGCAGCCTCCAATGAAACTTTCCGAGTGCTTGTGCGTCCTGACGTGGGCATTAGTCTAGCCGCACTTCCGTGCCGATGATCGCATGATCCGACATGTGTATTCGGCCAACAGCGCGTCCTCACTTAAGTAAGACTGCGTGGCACAGTCTAGGGCTTTGATAACGGAAAGCAGATGGAAGACCAATACTCTTCGTTTACAAGCCCAACTCCAGTAACATATATACTGCATCGATAAACTTGCCATCCACTCCTGTGCTGTTGAATCGGTAAAGGTTTCAGCCACGTTAGATGTCCGACCAGCTTTTTCCCTTTCAGCCAGTACCGTTCCACTGCCAGCGTAGTCCGTCTGTATCGGTCACCCCTCCCAGCAACCCATACTGATACCTCTTGAGGAGCCGAGGGCCATAACAACACTAGAATGTCCAGATGATATCGCTTTGCTCACACCAAGTAATGGTGTCAATATCAAAGTCTCGGTCTCCGACCCGCCATGCTCTATGTTTTTGTTGATAAGGCCGTGCCTGTCACCTGGCAGAGTGATGTCTTCGGTTGAAAATAGGCGTATAACAGAGCCGTATTTTGCGTTGTTAGCAAAGGGCTTCGCGCGAGAACGCTGCAGATATCGCTTCACGGACAGATACTGTTAGACAGGTCCTGGAAGTTGGCTGCCTCGTCAAATCAGTGTACATAACCCATGTTTGTATCAAATCATTGTCTTTCGGCGCTTGATACTAGGTGTATCGGCCGTGGTCTCTGCTTGCAAGTTGTAATTTCGCGTCAGGAGGGAAGGAGATTGCCTCGTGGAATGCTCCAGTGCTCGGAGAAAGTGGTGAGTACATAGTACAAGCTATTTCACTTAGCTCCAGACAAGCTACTGAGCAGGGTATATTCACCGCGCTGAGGCTGCGACGTCGAAAAATAAGGCATCGTTGCTCTAGAAATCTGTAGCGTTTCAGGTATGGGCATTAATCATGCTTGTCCGAGATGAGAGGACGTCTTCCATTTATTGCCATTAACAACAGCGCCGGCAGTGCGCAACTGTTTGGTCAGGGTTACGGCGGGCATCGGAGGCGGGAGAGGGGAGGAGTGGTGTCGCTGCCACGGGGTCTGATGTAGATGTTTTCAGAGATGCGGCGGTCTATTGATTTCCAGTCATCCGAGGGGTGGCGCATTGGGAAGAGTGTACAATGCAATTCCCTTTTTGCTGGTTGCTCGCCATCAAGTGTTGAGCTAGGGGCATGGAATAAAAAACAACGTGGTATGTGCAACATAATAATTGGTAAAGCAGCATAAGACTGCCGAGGTAGCGCTTCACAACTTTAGCAGCGCCGCTTTACGAGGTACAAACGGATCAACGACAACGGCGTTTGCCCTTACGAATGCCCTCTTCTCTTGGGTGACTATGAATACTCCTATCCGTTTGTAATCAGCTCGCCATGGCAGCAAAAGACACTATACAGTACATGCGCTATGACCTGTCCCCGGAGTCGCCCAATTGATCGATTTTTCTACCAGCCACATCGAGACCAGAAGAAGTCGTCACTGAACAATCATTCGTCACGTGGAGTCCATTTTCGATTTAGTTCGTTGGTGTACTGTAAGTTCTTCAGCTTGGCCCTCGAAGTCCGAATAGCCGTCCATGGCACCTACCCCTACGGAGCAGTTTCGCGACTGACCGCATAGACGATCAAGAAGAACTCCAGGTCGCCTGCAAACATGTCGCAAAACCGTCTGAGGCCTCTGGCCCCTGCGCCACCGATTTGCCCCGCTCAGATTTCCGACCCGAACAACTTTCGATTACCGACCAAACAGCGACGGAATACCACAACAGCATGCACCGCTTGTCAAAAACGTCGTACCAAGGTGCGTCTATCTCAAGTACCGTTCTCCGTGGTTTTCTCTGCAAATGGTACCCTCAACTCGGACAGGAGAGCCTCGGATATGCACCTACCACCGCTCGCTCGACTTCTCGGTGTCTGCGTTCCTGCCAGGCTGTGTAACTATTCCTGAATAAGTTCTCTCATTCGGCAGACTGAATCCCAACCAACATCAAGTTACGAGATCCCAGCTCATAAATGGCTGCAAATAGTGTGATGATTATACCCCTTGTGCAGCCTGTTTGGCGAGACAAACAGATTGTATCCGCGAAACGGAAAAGGATGGCCGCAGGAGGATGGTATGGAAGGAAAAGGTCGAAGAGTTGGAATTGGATCGAAAAATGCTCTCCGATTTGATGGAGGCGATCCGAAATGGTGAAAAAGATCAGGTGGAAAACCTTGTTGGTATAATCCGAACGACTACGTCGAATGAGCAAGTCTCCAGCTATATTTCCACGAACTTTTCTCGCGCAGCAGAGGAAGGACCGCCCTACAAGGCTTCAACATGCCAGCAACCGCTACAGTCACCTGCAAGTCGTTTGTTCAGAGCCACATTGGGAACCGCTATGCCCTTGTTCAAGGTGCCAGCCAAACCTTGGACGACCGTCACAGATGATGACGGGCTCGTGTCGCATCTCCTATCACTATGGTTTACATGGCGCCATTGGTGCTATCCGTTTATTGATCGCGATACTATAGTCTCGGCCATGCAATCTGGACGCGAGAATGATGGAATATGTACGGCAGCTTTGGTGAATATGATCCTGGCAGATTCTTGCGTGAGTCGCAACACCAGATGACGGTGTAATTACTGACCGCGAGTATCATAGTTTGATTATGACATTCTGGACAACGGTCATGTACCTCCGTCGAACGAGAAACCCCTACAAGATCTCTTTTACGAGGAAGCCAAGAGATATGCAGAGACAACAACGCAGAAGAGACTCATACCGTCGATACAGTTCATGGCGATCCAATGGATGTTGTAAGCCGAGGTATCCTTCTCTATATTGAGGTCCTCACTTATCAAGGTAAAGTTTAGAAAACCGCGGTATTAATAAGCTCGCCAATGTTATCATGCGAGATATGATCGACCATCTAAAGCAGTTCAAAAAGCCTAGTCAATATCGAGAGGCCATGACACAACCTGGAAAAGAGCCAGTCTCTAGTGCGCAGCAACTTGCAGCATACACTGGCTGGGCTGTGTTCGCCTCTACCACTGCTGCAACTTTTGCGGTCCGAAACCGACCTGTGATGGAACCTCCTACCAACTGGAAGGCTCCTCTCCATCGAGGGAACTTGACTGACGTGTGGTCACCCTACCCCCGTGATAACCTTCCTGCAGTTCCCCATCCCATTTGTTACCTTCAACACCTGAGCGGTTTGTACGATATCTGCTACCACATCAGTCAGCGTGTTTTCATCGACGACAATGTGAATATCAAAACCGTCACGTGTGACAATCTGGAAGAGCTTCATCGTGACTTAACAGTTTGGTACGACAATATCTCGGATTGTGTCCAAGTTACGGGATTCAAAACACCCCATACTTTGAGTTTATATGCCCAGTATCACTGGGCTGTGTTGGTATTATCAGAAATGACATTGACACTACTAGCTGAGGATGAAGACGATTCCACTCTCGGTCTTCTCGTTCCTGTTGTACGAGCGCAAAACATGACCTCAGCCCTGGCCATAGCCGACCTTGTCCACCTTCAGTCCGTGAACTGGGGCGTCGACCATATCCCTATTAGCTTTCTTCAGCCAGTCAACGCGGCCTTGTCTGTCGTCGTCAACGACGTCAATGGCGATCAGTGCAAATCGTCCTTTGTGAAACTGGCTGTAGCTTTGCACGGTCTGTCTCGCCGTTCGGTTTCCGCAGAGAGTATGTTGCGTGATTTACATCTCAGAATACGTCAACTGCAGCTTATGTCGTCGAACCATGTGGAAAACATGTTCAAAGACGCCGATGTCCACTTTGAAGGCAGTGTTGTTTCACCTGCTGTTGGTATGGCGGCTACAGGTGAAGCTGCGAGAGCATTTGGTGACGGCCTGATGGCGGAATCTTATGAGGCATTGGTGGAAAAATGGAGCCGATTTCTTACTAGAGCTTCATCTTCTTCAGATTCATCATCCAGCTGGCAGAACGACAAATGATTTTTCGACGTACAGCGTTCAGTACCATAGACGAGCTCGGCTCTATAGAAGGTTGTCCAAGTTGCGTGGTATCCAAGATCTGCGGAGCAAGGTCTTCAAGTGCCTGAGAGTTGGCTAGCCGACGAACCTGAGCGGCCAAAGCTCTGGCATCTCATCATCGTGGATGCCAGTATGTTGATCAATAATAAGTCGCCTTGAGTCTTTGGGCGGTTGAGTTCTTTGAGTCAAAACTTCCAGTTGTTCAAGATGTGGGGAATAGATGCCTTCCGTAACTCCGCTGACAGATTTTCCGTGGACACTTGCGAGCCTCTGGATTCAATGCTCCTGAAATTCAACTGAGGTCCGTCCACTGTTCGAGGTTGAGTCCTCTTGCCTGGAATATCTTCAAATCGTGATTCGGTCACCACGTCAAGACTCTCGTCGCCAACAGTAGGGTTTGAGAGAGTGCTCGCCTTTGAATTGTGTGCAAAATTCTACGCCAATGGAACATTTAGCATAGCACGTAGTTGGAATTCGACGGAAATGCGGATACCTTTAATATTCTCATTGTGTCTGGATGCTTGTCAGGTTGGAAGTGAGGTGAACGCGTTATCACCCGGAGAGCCTCGAGGAGGATCTCCTGTTCCCTTTCCAACTCGTAAATCATTGCGCCGCACTCTTTGAGTTCTCTGTCGAGTTCATCAGACTGTTCCAGCCTAGTTTTCTAGCGGTCTAACAGCGCACCTCTGATCCCGACATATTTTCCACTCTTGATATACACATTTTGCGTTGTCTTTATCGCACCGGAGACATCGTTCTTCTCCGGAACATTTCAAGTGACGGATCTGACATCGAGCACAGGCATGCGAGCTTCGTCGCTTCTTCGATGTACTTGTTGTATGCATATGAATTGGTGAGCTGGACGTAAACCGTCGGTAGGTCCTCCGAGAAATGACTTGTCGGCCAGCAAGCTGACTCCGTGTTCTGCCACCATAGTCTTGATTCTTCTTATGTTTAATCGAAACGCTAGTCTGTGCGAATTCGCATTCAAATCAACTAGTCCTACTAATTTCCAAGGAAAGAAGTCTTGAAAGAGGCGTATCTGTACTCGAAGAGGACCGCCGGTCTTCGCCACAGACGCATTCTTTGCCGCAGGCGTGTGCTATGGGACAGTGATCTAATTCTGAGGTCTGGTCTGCCAAAGCTGCATTATTTCAGGCTGGCGTTCGAGAGCTAACCCGGCTGGATATCGACATCAAGCGCCGGAAGAGGTCCTGAAGAGCCGCTGGTTTTCGAAGTCTCAACGATTTCGGTGTTCGTTCGACGAATGAACTTCAGTCATCTTGGTTGCTGAGGATCCTGCCTGCAGCGATGTGAGGAATATCTTTGAATCTGGGTGCTCCGAGTTTACTTCCGGATATCGTTTATGTCGCCAGACCGACCTCGTTACATCTACTATGGCGAGAGATGAGATTATAATGGACGGGGAAAGCAACCTGATCGGTACGACTGTTGACCAACTTCGGCCTTCGTTTTCATTCCCGACTTGCCAAATACGCTTTCATCATTCATGTCTCTGTTTGCTCCACATAACCTTTCGCATACTCAATTCCCCTAGTCGCACAATACCGCAACTTGTAAGATCAATCGTGCAAGCGATGCAGGCATAAGGCTTTGTACATCGCCTTGCTCCTTGAATATTGACAATACAATCGTCCATCACGTGTACCATCTTGGACTGCACTTAACCTCGGTTTTGAAAACAAAGTAGATGTATATTTGCGAACACGCTCCGAGACTATCAAATACGGTTGAAAAGCACTACTGCCTACTGCTCGAAAACTGAGGTTCATTTGCTTGGGGTTAAGGACCTCTTTGAGGACACCATGAGAGCACTCATTGTGTGGCCATCCGCTCGTGTGCCGGCACCTTGTGGCCCGAACATTCAAAAGCTGTGGTAAGTGGTACATCGACCATATAATACAAGTTTGAGGGTATACGGAGCTCTCCAGCTTGTTGACCTAATGTAATCCTTCCTTTGGTTAATGCCCAAGGCTGAGGCCAAGCTTTGAGACACACCCTTTTCTCAAGATCACACTGCTGACCATCCCCCCCCCCCCCCCCAGAGACCATTGCCAGTTCTAAGGTGCGTCCCTGTGTTGGTCGCACCGATCCAGTACTTAAAGGGATCCAGTCAATCTGGTTCTTGAAGACGGCAGTGAGATTACCATGCTGCTCCGGTGACATCCAGAAGTGTCTATCGTTCCAGCGACTGAGGTTTCGAAGTTCTTGCACCTTGGATGGCTGTGTTGGTCATCATCTTTGACAGGCAAACCCTGCGGGTTATAGATACGCCCGTCACAGCCGAGCCTACAAAGTATGTTGGCGACTTCAAAGGCGAAAAGTTTCTAGTAGAACTACGCGGAGTAAGTATCTCTCCGGCACGTAGACCTCACAGGTTATGTTACCTTTGACAGAGACTCCCGTATAATATCAAAACATTAATCCTGTCTCCTGTTATTCTCAGGTCTTTGTACACCAGTTCAGTCACTGTAGCAAGCTCCAGTCTACTGACCCAATCCTGCTGCTGGACAGTATCCGGGAGTAGGAACGGTCGGTATCTGGAACGGACCGTAGGCTCATCTATAGATGCCGAAATAGAAAGTGATCAGTAGGAAAAGTCAGGATGACGCTCAGGTTTCAGACGCCGTATCATTCAGATCACCATTGTTAATGGCTGTTCGGACTCTGGGGATATTGGAGGTATTCGCTGATTCTGCGCTTCGGCACGGTCGGGCGGATGTTGGTGTTCAGCGGTCACCGCCGTTTTGGGGGGAGAGAATAGGAAAGCGAGTGGTTGGCACCTCGATTCACCGATGGTTCGAATGTGGCCGAAATGATTGATACAGACTGGCGGTTTCATAAGGCATTGGAGGGCGCTGGAAGAGTGCAGGGCAGTGATCCTTGGATCGCTGTGGTTCACAAAAGGTTGGACTTTCTTGGTACTCTAACAATTTTGGGAATGCAACCTTGCTGTGTCACTCGACGACGATGATTCACCATTTAACGACATTGGCATCGGCGTCCTCGGCTATTGCATATGCAATTCCGTGCCCTCCTGCGGGTTACCACTGAGCTGATAGCCTGGTTGTTTCAACACAACTTCGACTTGGTTCTGATCACCATAGCATGTCTCCGCGCTTCAATTTGGATTGAACCACGCGATGTCATAATTGTCCTTTCACCCCTTCTCATTTCTCCTTTATAATGACCATGTCCTCGATTGGTGACGCCTCAACACCCTCCGTGCTACCGTGGTAGTCTGCCTGCTTCTCCAACGTTTGATGCCTTGTCTCTGGAACAGCAGGGTGGTGAGCACTCCACAATGCATGAAGAAAGTGAAAACTTCCATGACATGATTCGGACACTTATTTGTGCCAGTTTCATTTCTTAGGGGTCCAATTGAGCCCTGAGTGAGAACAGTACCGTCTTTTCCCGCAGCGGCCGAGATACCACGCGCTGTCAGTCGAAGGTGTATAGGATACTCTTCACCAAGGATTAAAGAAATTAGCTCTCAGCGATGATATTTCGCTATGTTAATTGCCTCTGCAATGATCATCGTAGGGTTTGCCCTCACCGTTGGAAAAGAATTGGCAAAGGCCGTACAACGCTAGGAGCGCATATGCCGACGACAATGAGCTGGCCATCTCACTGGGTTCACGGCCGACTGTGTCGATAAGTGCAATCGGAATCCGATATATCGGGATGTAGCCGGGATGGCTCGGATGAGATTGCTGACGGTCGTATTGTACAGATTGTCGTAGACATTTTCAGGAATCGTTCAAGCCCAGGACCCAGAAGCAACATCAATGGAAAACCATGACCCAGCAGTTCCGAGCAGATCTTCCCATATCTCCATTGCCGAAACCAGCCGACCGATTCAGACCATGTTGCAATGGGTGGTTCGATCCCCCGACGACTCTCCAACGTTGGCGTGACCTTTCTTCGCCTGTCCGTTTCACCTACCACGAAGATAAGCTCGAACATCTGATTTCGCCTTTTAGCACCTAAGGTGATATCTGCAGCGTACCGTAGTGTCGAGGATTGTTAAACGGAAGTACACCGCTGCAGGAGCTAGGACGTGCACGAAGGCAACAATACTGCGCCACGTCTTATCGGCAGCGAGCATTACAGTCAACTGAGGAGAGACAACGTCGAGATCAAGCCCAGCTGTTGATCACCGAGCTTAGTCTCCATATGCCATCGACGATCAAGGACTTTTTGAGTCCGTGTCGATGTTCATAAGTATACAACCGGTTGGCATGCAACAATATCTCGATCATTGGTTGAAAGAGCTCATAAGACGAAAAGGTGTACCGAGGCGGCATGGTTCTTGAAATGCGACTTTCCTTCGAAAACCATTCCACGGCAAGCCACCTTGTCGGGGCAAGGAATTCGGTCCTTCTCTTGAAAGTGTCGTAGGCGACAGCGTTCCGTATGTCTCTGGAGGGAGTGTTTACCGGCATACCGCTTCTCCCGATCTTCCTGGGGGAGATTACTGCATAGACAGAAGAGGCATTGAAATCCCTGACAGGTCAACGGCACGAAGCCTTCGGCCGTCGACGAGAGCGGCAGAGTCGGCGTAGAGACTACAGTAGTCACTGTATCTGTCTCTCCTGTGGAACTTGAACATTTCCTAGATAGTCTTTCACGTCGTGTTTCACGCCGTCCTTCACGTCGTCCACATAACGCGATCATGGTGGTGGAGCACTTTATGTGTCGGGAAAGAGCCTTGGGCCCGGTGAATACAGCGGGGTCGCTCATGGCCGCTTCCGCGATCTGTCGGCGTTCAAGGATCTGGATCTGCGTCGGGGTGGAGCCTGAAGCAAGCTCGTGCCCTTCAGCTAAGGTTCCTTTGATCTGTCGCTGAATCGCCTCAATAGGAGCTGTTTCGTCGTACTGTCGCTGAATACCCTTCAACAGAGCTCGTTCCTCGGCTCGAATCGTGCTGTTAACCATACGTTCCAACTTCTTGTACTCGGCATGGATTGGTTCTCCGATCGCCATTCGAAGACGGCCAAACTCCCGAACGATGAGACCGCGAACCCGATCTCGCGACTCCAGAAGCCGGCGGACAGAAGGCAATCGTCGAACCTGCTGACTCTGTTCGTTGTTTAGCTTTCTTGGCCGGTTCGGATCGCGGAGACGGCCGATGCGGCTTGCCGATTTGGCCGCCTGTGGATCGCCGTCCCGGTTCCAGAACGCGTCTTGCGTACTGTAGCGGATCATCCGAGACAAATAATTCCGTTCGAAGATCGTGGAAGATCCAACATGATCTAGGGCAAGGTTACGGACAGCGGCGTTGGATTTGGGATCATCTGAGCCAAGTATTTGCGTTAGCAGTTTGAACTCTGCTCAGAAGAACTGTTGGAGAGGATCACCTACCATTGATAGCGTTGCCCAGAGCTCGGCGGAGGCAGTACGTCGTCAATGTCTGTAGGTAACCCAACGCCTCACCTAGACGCTTGACCCACGCTTGATAGACGTTGTAGGTCAGAGCTCTGTCTGGTGATGTCTCGACGCCTTCCTTGGTGGCGATCGCACGGCGAAAAATCGGCACGTCAAGCATCTCCTTACTCCATGGGATCGGCTGACATCCCTTTTCCCGCCGCGCCCGGAGACGGAACAGAATATCGGGTGACTTCAGATCGGGCGGCCCGAAAGCCGAGTCATCGAAGGCCAAGCTGACAATGTGGGTGGTGACACAGAAGATTGGGTTGTCGTCCAAATTGAAGGTGTACGTTTTCCTTTGTAGCAGGATTAGCCACATGAACTCCCCAACCGAGGGGTACTCACGGTCGTTTCCGCTTCTGGCGGGACTTAGTCTTGGTCAATTTCACCCCCAAGCGCAGCATGTCGACACGAGTCTCGGCGTCCTTCTCGATGTAGAGGTCCAGGTCGCCGTAGGTCAAGTCCAACAGGGCTTGAGGTCGAGACCCGGTGAACGCTGCCAGCAACAGAATCGCCGCCAACTGGAGTCGTTGCCGTTCATTGGGAAACCAGTTGATATCCGAGGCCCAGTGGTAACGGATGAGCTCGACGAAATCGTCCGCCTCCATGAGAGGCTTCTCGATCTCCTCATTGTCCAGGCCATATTCTTCCGTCAATGGCCCTTCAATGAACTGTAGCTTCAGCGATCTGGCGGCATACAACGTTGCTTGTTTTACGTACCACGAAGATTTGCCTCATGACAGCCGGGTCCATCCGACGCTGTGTCCACATAATGTACAGCTGACTCAATTGCCGCCAGTAGGTCGTCAGCGTACTGGTTTTCTTGATGGTGTAGGTCCGGAGCAACCAATGTAGGAAGTTCTCCATCCGAGCCGTGGCGCACTCGCGCAGGGTCTCTTGTGGATCAAGCTGGAACTTGTCACAGTATCTTTGCAGAGTCAACAGATGTCCCCAACTATCAGGTCATGGCACGTACTCCTCGAAGAGGCGCTGAAGGCGGTCGACGTGGTAGATAGTATTCGGTGCATACAACGTCGTGGGACGGGTTTCCAACAAGGCCTCCTCATATTTCCGGGCGAGGACGTCAAGTGTACAGACGTCATCGGTGGTATGGCTGGAGTATAAACCCCCAGAACTCAGGTTGACAGTGATCAACTTCTTTCGGCGAGGCATGTGGCTCGAGGATACGCAGGGACGGATCGGACAAGGTGAAGAGGGATGGCATATATATATCATCCAGGGCTCGTGCAGCTAGCACAGCGGTTGGCAATAGGCAGGGGCATCAGGGCATCGCCTGAAGCCAGTTTGACTTCCGACTCCGTTTGATGAGCCGGGGCATTTCGACGGAGGGACGGCAGGAGAACTGCAAACAATTTGAAATTCGGGAGACGTCCACAAGTCTCACTCCTAGGATCTTCGACATGGGTTGGAGGTCGCCAACGCATGCTTTTGAGATTGTGACGTGAGACACACAGAGAGGGTCGGGTGAGAGATGTAAGGGCAGGATGGTGTGTGGGTGTTGGGTGGAAGGCAGAGAGAGAAGGTTGTACGTCAAATCGTCAAAAGCGGCGAGGGACAGGTGGAGCCGGCTAGTGGAAAGGGATCGCAAAAGCGGCTACGGACGTCGTCGCGAAACGGCACCCTTTGCGCCAGGACACAGACTTAGGAAAAATAATTAAATAGAGTACTATATAGTTTAATAAATTATATAGGGTAATAAACTATAAAAACCTATTTAACTACCTTTTAATATCTTTAACGTGGCACTAATATAATTATTTCATTATCTAAAGATATTAATAAGTAATTAAATACTTTATCTTTCTCCTTAGACTTAATTTTAGTAATAAGTTATTAGTGTGATAGACCTTATTACCATTTTACTAACTATTTCGCTTTTACCTCCTAAGTAATCTCTAATACTTCTATACTACGTCCCAGATTCTTCGAACTTCAATTCCCCTTCCCGATCTAGCGGGGGAGCTGCGCCGCTCTAACTCACCCCGAGCTCAGCCTAGCTTAGCCTAGCTCACCCTTAGCTCAGTTTCACCTCACCCTAGCGCCCAGGTCAGAGTGAGTTAGGGGGTGAGTCACAGGTGCGCACAGGCTGCGCCCAAGGTGAGCCGAAATTGGACTAAGAGACGGGCGAAGGGTGGCGAGGGTCGGCGATGGCCTTTGATTGGTCTATGTCTATGGGGCCCATGAGCGACTTTTCGACGACAGGAAATCCAACCCTTCCCCCTTTCCCTCCTTCTCTCCCTCCCGCACATACATTCTTCCAAGTGCAACCAAAGTTCTTTGACCACTCGAATGTTTTTCAGCAACGACATGACTGCACCGCATCGACGCCAGGATGACCGGTGTCAGGATGAGGCAGGAATCTAGTAGACCCTTCGCGGCTGCAGCGGCTGCAGCAGTGGCCAAATAGATCGAACTATTACAGGGCTATGCAAGGACGAGCCAGTCCCTGTTCAGATTTAGGAGAAGAACGCAGACCTTGGCTAGCACGTCTCATCCTCGCCATCGGGCTTGTTCCTTCGGTTGGCCACGACTGGGTGTACACCTGTATTTGCGCTGCAGAGGCTGCGGAAGCCTAACGAATAACTTTTACCAGCAGGGAAGAGGGTGTATTGCGAGAGGTTGCCGATCGGCCGGGCAGACGGGATGAACGAACACCCTAGCTCTGTGCAGATTCGGCCAGGCTATGGAAGGTTACATGCTTCAAGGATGCTCGAGGATGCGTATGCGCCTAAGTGGCCTATGATGTGACCAAGGCTCCCTTGACGGCGCCAATGCGTGCGGCATTTGTGGCTTGAGGTGTCTGCCTCGTGCGATGGCGAGACTCTTCAAGACGAGGCCTGCATGTGGATTAAGAGAAGAGAAAGTGAGACTCCTCGCCGCACGCCGTGTGCGTAGACTCGCTTGTCAAGTCTATGGCAGATCCATCGCATCTTGTCTGTGAGAGGACTCCGTAAGAGATTGTCGCGAAGGCACTCGGCTCAGTCTGTTTGAGACAGAGGCTCAAGAACACAGACAATGACTCTACATCATGCTGAGGAGCCTTTCGCCTCCTCATCTTGTATGCTACAGAATCCCCCGAGGAAATCAACCTCAGTGCGATCGATAAAGCCAATCGCAACCGCACCAAGAACTGCGAAGTGCAGCGTTGGGTGCCGACGGCTCATTTGATTTGTCCTGGAAAATCGTTCTGAAGATGCGCCGAGAGTATTGAGCATCCAGCGATCGCCTTCTCCCGTTGCCTGGTCCCCTCAACGTCCCCTCAACGACCGCGTGTCACATTTACGAGCGCGGTCCAGGCCCCTCGACAGAGGCGGTTTCTCGTCACCTTTTATAATAGTCTGTCCTTGCTTCCAATTTTCGTTGTTTGCTCTTTCAACGACTCAAAGTCTCTCCTTGTGCTGGAAAAGCCCCCCTACAGCCGGCCATCCTGCACTTCTGTCTGAGTACCTGAAGATCCGAAACAACGAATAGAAGTGGCAACAGGCAAAATATGGCAGGGCCAGCCAATTGCTTCCGAATTATCCCCCTAGCATTGACGATTCACCTCTACGCCATCTTGCTCTATCTTTTATGCGCGAAAGACGCTCTCGACACCTTGGCATTGAGGCTGATCACATATATCGCCATCCTAGTTATGATTCCCCTGGTCTAGGAGATGTCAAACAACGGAGAGGACCGGTATTTACTGAAGCTGCCGTTCTGTCCCGTTCTCTGCCAGCGAGTATCCGGTGGGAGATGTTCTCATGAGATAGCAGACTTGCTTCATTTTTACCCTAGCTTCGGCGAAATGGTTGGGTGATGGCTCTGGAATATTTTTGTGTAGGATAGCCTACAGTTGATAGACGAGTGCGAGGAAACTTCGTGTCCTTAGCCGTTGTCCAATACTATGGAGCAGACAAAAACCTCGAGGGTGTTATACTATGGTTGAGTTTCCAACGTTGATGAGATTGGCGATATCAGTTGGGCGGTCTCCCACGAGACTACAGGGCATCTTAGTCACTTACGCCGAGCCACGGCAGACAAATCCGATCACGGCGTGCGTACTGGTACACAAACCACTCTCTGAAAGAGCACGAAATAGGAGGAGTCAGGGCATCTTCAGCTCAATCCAGCGGCAACCAACAACATCTTTCAAAGAGTCCCACTCTGCCTCGCCGTCGCCCTCCCAGCCGAGTTACAGCGGACGGCAGCGAGGAAGCAGCAACGCAGAAAACGGGGGCTGGAAGAGAGTCAGTGCATTGTGCACAAGAGTAATGGGCTTATTCAATGCTCTGTATGTTCCATGTGTGTTCACACATTCTCCTAGACAACCCTAATATACTGGGTGACGATCAGCCAGTTGGTATACATTCTAGATCACCCATTCCTGACGACGAAAATTCTGCCTTCGATATCCGGCAAACCCAGCAATCTCTCTCCAAATCTCTCTTGGGGATGTTCCAATTCACGCATGACTGAGAGAAAGAGAACTCCAGGCCATTCAAACGGATATTTATGCAGGCCACGAGCTACGAGGTAGTGGATCACACAATGACGACGATGTCTTACTCGTAGTCTCGCCGATGATTGTTACAGTACAGTCACGAATACGCCAGCGTCAGTTAGCCCACATGAAGTGTCATAACTGACTGAATGAGAGAGGGTTTCAGCAATCAAACGGTAAATCAGGAATTGCTATCACTATCGAGTCAAAACATACCCTTCATTTTACATCGGTCTTCTTGTCTTCGATTCTCAATCCACCGCTACACCAGTTTTAGCTCCTGTCATTTTTCACATGAGGACGCCTTACCCGAACTTGGGGAATTGTCATTTGTGTTCGCTCCGCGATACCTTGAAGCTCCTCTTCAGTCGCACTTCGATTTCGATATTTTTGGTAAGCTTCTCGAAGAATTGAGACATCTTCAATGCTGGAAATTTGTGTCAGTAAAATTAATGTCGAGGACGAGATACGACTTACCTTGGTTTGTGGCGTCGTCGGACGGGGGCTTCGGTAACCTCCAGACCATTACAAGTATCTCTGTTTGTCCGTCGCTCCTGAAAGACCTGTAATGTCTTTTGGGTATTCATCGTGCCTGTTGGGGGAGACTTGCGATCTTGATAGATGTATCTGTAGTTTGGTCATAACAGCCCCGGAATTTAGAATAGTACTCGTTTTGACTGACCTTGTTTCCGGCGTGTCATGGTCTGCACACTCGAACCCCTGACTCCACGATCTAAGCACGGTGATCTTGCACCTGATTTATGTTCGGAGAGCTCTCTCGATTCTGTCGGTTTGAGACAAGAAAGGTCGAATGGAAATTGGATAGATGACAGGTCTATCTGGTTGTCACACTCCAATGTCGTTGTCATCCCTTTAACAGCTTGCAAATTACTCATACGGAGTGGCGACGTCTGTGAGGGTGGTGTAGGCGTCATAAATCTGAACGACGGCCGGGAAAGTTGTAACTGCCTGTCGATTTCAGAGAAGTTCATCTCCGGGCCAAAATCGCCATCACACTCAAAGAGTCCATCTTGTCTCGGTCCATCTCTTGATACGTTCCCAGGTTGTGCTGTATTCGAAGGACCTTCGTCCGGACATAGTCTATCGTCACCGAAAACTTTTTTACCTTGTGCGTCTCGAGTAGAAATCAATTCAAGCAGGGCCTTGGTGATTAAGGTCAAGCCAAGCAGGCAAGAGAGATTCACCGCCAAAGAAATATGTGCATAGGATCCTTGAATCTTAGGATCACCCCTTACAACCTCGATAGAAGGTAATCTCCGCTTGAATCTCTGCAAGGTGTCCCTATGAGAGGGATGCGCTGACGATGCTTTTAAGATATGGGTAAGGTTGACACTGAAGTCTCTCCGTCTGACTGCCACTACATCATTGTCGCATTCGAGAAAATGAAAGTGTTGACTCTGTCGAGTATGCGTCACTTTCATCACTCGCGTTCTTTCGTGCAAGATTGCTCCGAGGGCTTGAAGTGAATAAAGGTTACACAAATTAATGGCGACGTCGGACTCGACGAACACGCCCAATGAATCCACCACGTCATAGTTGAACTTCTGATTTTGCCAACTAAATGGGGGTTCATCAAACCCTGCTGCTCGAAAAACTTGGCTTGCGTTTATCCATAAATCCTGATCTCGAATCAGAATTGTACGGTCTTCAAAGATAAGCTTTGTGTAGCTCGGGATTTTCTCTCGCTGTTCCATCTGGAGCGGATCAGATAATATGGGAGTTTTCTGCGCTCTTTGACCTTCTTGAGCTTCTCCAAAAGACAAAAGCGGCCGAAAGTCATCGTCAAGATTGGCCATAGCACATAGTCCGCGTGCTGTCGGAAGGTCAATCCAAGGACCCGTCGCGGACGTATCCATGGTAAAGTTGAGTCGAGCATCTGGTACATGTAAAATGCCCCGGTGCCTGCCCGAGTTCTGTACAACAAACTGCTCATGCTTCTCCAGAGGTGGTGCGATAGGAGGGTTGTCAGAACAATCGCTTTGAATGGAGCCCTGGATTGATTCTGCCTGTTTTGCACCATTGTCTGCGCTGTCCAACAATGCCTTCAAGCTCTCGTCTGGTGTTATCTGGGAAACGTCCCCTAGATTAAACGACCAGCTTGGAAAACTCAGGCTGGGATCGAAATCGTTGGTGGTCCGTCTGCGTTTCACAGATCGGTCGCTATGTCTTTCTCCCGGGCTAGGTGGGCCATTCTCGGGTTGCGATGTGTGCCCCTCGTGGCTCGCTGCTGTGCCACCAATCTTTCCGAAGGGCTCCTTGATGGTCGACGCATCTTCTGCATCAATGTCATCATGCACTTGGGCCGGTTCTCGTCGTGGCGTGAGGCTTCCTGTCCGCAAGGGAATCTCTTCGAACAGGCCAATGTCGTACGCCATGCTCAGACACTCTGCTGCTGACTGGCGGTCTGTAGGCTCCCATTTGAGCATGTGGCTTTTAAGAAAGTCGATCATGGGATCCGACTCCCAGTCCTCTGCCGCCTCGACGATGCTAGAGCACCAGGTGAAAGCTTGCCGTTGAGTTTTGCGACGCTCTTTCACGTCTTTTGGTGGTGCATCGCGAGGGACCTCGGGGAGCCCATAGAGGCCTTCCAAGACAATCACACCTAACTGCCAGATATCGACTACGCACGTATAAGGCCGATTTGAATAAACTTCAGGGGGCGAATATCGATAATTCCCGCACCGTGTTCTCAAGTCGATATCTTTTTTTGCGAGACCAAAGTCGCCGACTCGAACCAAGAACGGTGTCCTGGATTTTACGAGGATGTTCTCAGGTTTCAAATCTCGATGCGTTACATTGCGGGCGTGGAGATATTCAAGAGCTTTCAAGCACTGGTGTAGAAGAGTCACCCATTCTTCCACTGCAATCGGACTGATCGAGTTTTGCCGGCTTAGATTTCCCAGCGGCAGATATTCCGTCACCATCAGTGGTTTTGGATGCGTCTTGAAGTCGATTAACCCAACTATATTGTCCTTTCGAGAGAGTCAGTCAAAACAATAATCAATAATCGGGAAGGATCTTATCATACGTGTCGAAGCGTTTTCATGATTTCAATTTCACGCTGCCAGCCTGACGGATAGAAAAACTCCTTTCCAGCGCATTCCAATCCGGTAGTAGCGTTCAGGACCCTTCTGACTCGTCCGTAAGCGCCGTGGCCTAATTCTTCATGCTTCAAGTAAACTGGTCGTCTGCTTGGACTGAGCGATTCGCTCGGCGCGAACGAGTCACCTGGACTGCCGAGGGCTAGATTATAGAAATCTACTTCGTGCGATGGAGGAGCACCGTCCGTAAATCTCTTTGCAGTTTTCTTATAATCTTCCTGATTTGTCTTATAATGTCGAGGGAGGTGGACGTTAAAGCCCAGTTCCCGGTTGTTTCGCAGTGGTATCTTCACTCTGATTGTTTGGTACCAGGAAAAGAAGATCCATTTGAAGTGATGGCGAAGTTCATCTTTCGCCTCATCGTCATAGCTGACAGTGAGACCATTGTTAGAATAATCCCAGATAGCGGGCCGTTGTTCGCTGTCGAAAGAGATATAAAAGCGCGGTCTGCTCGACTCGAGAAGGACATCACACTGATCGGGATCATTTCCAAATATGACACGACCTTTCACTTTGGTCTCCTGGTCAAATCTCAGTTGGATACGGTGAAAATAATCCAGTTCGTTCGCTGGAGTTTCGTCTTCGGCGTATTCGCTAGGCGTGGGCCCACGGCTAATAGGAGACGGCTTCACATATCGGTCTGCGTTGTGTGGTAAGCGGAATGAATCAATCGCCAGTCCCCATTTATCATCAGGAGTCAATGTCAAAATAGTATTGGGGTCATCCATTTTGTCTGAGGTTACAGGATGAAAGGAACCATGCTCCAAAATCATGGCGGCGCTCTTGTTCTTTATGCGGTTATCTTACCTGGAGGTGAAGGGCCTTGACGGCCCCAGATCGACGATCCCGCAGGTTGGCGCCGGCGCTACTATTTAGCGCGCTCTTTCCAGAATAACTAAGACCCTATCACTTCCACGCTCAGCACACATCTTGAAACTGCGGTCACGTGGCTGCAGCTACATCAACCTGCAACCCACCCCTCGATGGTTTTCTCTCATTACTGAACCATCCCACCGACTTTTATTCTCCTTCATCATGACAATTACAGTATATGCAGACGAACTCCTACGTCTAAATGTCGACGATATTGGAGATGAGGATCTTTTCGACCTTAAAGACCCAGAGAACTGGACTGAGGAACATGCGGCACATTTCCGGTGATAACCCTTTCTTCTTATGTTTGCGGTATTAGATGCTGGTATTGACAAGGGATCATTTATTCTAGGAAAATTGTCAATGAGCGCCATCAGCGTGATGAAAAAGATCGGTCGCGGGCGGTGGATGCAGATGAACTTGGGGCACGATTAGGGTACGAGCGACTTCCTCTCTTGATTGAAAGATTTGACTCTAAACCACGAACAAAGCCGCATTCCTACGAGAGAATCACCCGCCTTCCCTCTAACGCGTTACCGCTCGTCCTCAAGTTCAACCATCGATACGGAGAAAGATAGAGAAGGGGGGTGGAAAGAAGAAGAGGAGGCCTATCATGCTTTGGTCGCCGAAGGGGGGCGGCCGTCCCACCCTATGACCCTGGGATATGATGTGATAGACAACCCCGACAAGTATGAGTCGTACAAGGATATCCTCTGGTTTTGGCATTTTAGAGGCGCCGGGTATTACCAGGAATTTCGCTATCAACTTATCGAATGGCGGGAATTCCGAGAAATGCAAGACAAGAAGAGGAGTTATTACGTCCCACGAAACAGGTTTCGAGAGTATCAAGACTCCGTCTGTGAGAGTCAAACAGACGCGGGATGGAAATACGACCTCCGAGTGCTCGAGGACCGACACCAACAGAACCGACTGGAAGACTGGAATGAGTTTCGGGCGTTCTACTATCGGAGGCTCAAACATTATGAGAAACGGGTTGCGCCGGCGGAGCAGGACCTATCAATGTATCAGAGGAAGTTTGAAGAAGCCCAAGCGCGACTGACCGATGTCATCACTGATACTCAGGTTCTGTATAGCCGATTTGATGATATCCAGGCTTCAAAGCAGGAAGTAACTGAAGCGAAATCTAGAGTGGAGTTAGCCCAGGAGGCGTTACGAGCAGCAAAACAAAGCAGCTCAAAGACAAAGGCAGAGTTGATGAGGGTGGCGCACCAGGAACTCGCTTCTGCGAGGGACAATTTAAAGCAAGTATCCGGTACTGAGGAAATGAGAAGACTCCGTGATGGGTATGACCTGCACCTAGCCGAGGAGTCCATGGTTATATCAAAGGGTGAGTTGAGAGGAGCGGGGCTCGATGTGAAGAGATGGAAAGTATTCCTGAAGTGGATCGACGACCAGCATCCAGCTATCGCAGCCGAATGCGGGTTGTTCACCAATAATACCCTGGATGCCGTTCCTCAAACCATCACACGAAAAGAAGATCCGCAGAGGCAGAAAGAGCGGCCTCAGCTCCGACAAAGAAAAAAAAAACAAAGATGGTCTGTCCTCAGTCCAAACGCTTCATCGAAGGTCTCCAAATCCTTGAAAGCTAGAGTGGGGTCTTCCAGCTTACGTGCAACGATCACAACACCACTTCACGAATCTCCCGTGCCGACGGTTGCTTCAGCTCAGCAAGGAGATCATGATGACAACAGAAAATCGCGGCTACGGCCATGCCCAAGTACGTCACCACTCAAGCCCACTCGTCGCAGCGCTCGAATCGCAGAAAGAATAAAAGGCCTACAAGATTATGATGCACTATCTAAAACTGCAAGGATTATGGGTGGAGAGGCGCATGAGCTGTCACAAGTGAAACGACAAATGGAACAGAATATAAATGCAGCCACGAAGAGTAGTGAGCGCCTCAAAGGCAGGCATCCATCGAAACCGCAAGGCGTTTCAAAGCGGAGGGGCCCTCGTCGATGAAGATGCATCCCGAACCGAACCTTTCTTCATTCTCCAGTTCCCTGTACCAGTACCAATGTCTAGAACGTTCCCGGGTGTCTTGACAAGGGGAAGTGTATGTATTTTGAGATTGTCTTTGCAACAGCTTTCGGTTGATGCAGCTTGCACCAGAATGCACACAGATCACGTGACTTGAAGTACTTGATGATGTCTCCCGCCGATGGCTATATCTTGAACTGTTGTCTTGGTCTTCCGTCGAGATCGATCTCCACGGTGTGTTTAATCTTCAGGCCGCCTAGCCACCTCATGCAGGCCCCAGAACACGGCCTGACAATAAAATCAATTTTGGGAAACCTTCCAGACCAGCGAATCATTTTTAGCGCCCAGAAGCATGAAACCGTGCGTTTTGGTATCAAGTTTCGACTTGAGACCTTGCCAGGGCAGTTTTCCATGAACCATCGCGAGACCTATCATGTAGACCGACGGGTATCTACAGATACAGAAATAACGATTGCTCCCCAGGAGACGTAGATGCGCTGGCGAAGGACTGAGGTGCATCCACTGGAGAGCTCTCGCGTCGCTCAAGGACTTGCGCTTGCGGTTTGGACCTGCCCCCGGCGCCTCTTTGTCGAGTGGCAGTAGAGTACAAAGTACTCTCTACGTATCACCCAACTCTTCTGGCTTTCAATTGGGTTGCTACCGGCCAATGATTTTCCGACCGATGCCGTCTGCATTAAGGACCAATCATTCCCTATCTGAATCCTCTTGTATAACCGGTCCATCATCGAGAAGCCAGTCATTTTGTGAAACACGACAGCGAAGCAGAAAGCATCCGTTGGGCAAATCGTTGGCTGGCATTAAGTAGTGTTCGGAGACCTTGCTCCAATTGGCCCCGTCACCGTAGCTCTCCGTCAGGGGCTGTGCTAGGGTCCGCTCCAGCCATCTTCGACCTTTCGGTATTCCAGCACATTGAACCAGAGCTGGATCCACCTGCACCCACTCCTCGTAAAAGCGACGATTGGCTCTCGATGATTGACAACGTCTAGGCATGCGTTGCCCGATTTTCCTCATGCCTGCCGCTTGCGAAACTGGAGGGTCGCCTAGAGAGCCAACCATTGCGCAGGAATCATCGATGGCGAAGACCCCTCTTCTGTGGTCCATCCACGTAAATACTGCTGAACATCCCTTTTCACCTCGTCCTTACAGGGTACAGTACTGTAAGATGTCGGTGCCGTACAAGAATTCACTCTATCTCTGGCTTTGCGCGCAACCTGACGATTTCGACCCAGGAGCGAGCACAATAAGACTAACACCATCGCAGAAGGCGGAGTGGCAGCAGCTCGCCGATTCAGCCTACTTTGGTTGGAGACCTTCAGATTCGGGCTTCAGGACCCTCGATCGAAACATCCCGTATATTATCGGAGACCGCGAAATCCGTGTGACTTATCGGGCGAAGACCGACCCTCCTAGTGCAGGTCTCGGAGCACTCAATCGGCTCCCCATTGAGCTCCTGAATTCTATTATCTCGTCACTTGACATATCTACTCTTGACCGGTTCAAAAGAGTGAACAGGCGGGCTTTCGAGATCGTCAATGCGCATCCGGAATTTCACGTCATGAACTCGCAAGCGCATGATACCCTACGCGGGCTGCGCGCCATCAAAACAAGCCATATGATCACCGTTCAAGTCCTCTTTGAAAAGCTCTGCACCAGCAAGTGTGAGGACTGTGGCGACTATGGCGGATACATTTATCTTTTGACTTTTCAGCGGGTTTGTTGTCGGTGCTTCACGGAGCAAGACCGATATTGGCCACTACGAGAGATTGACGCTTTGAGAACGTACGGCCTTACTCCGGGAATCCTGCGCACTTTGCCTCGTTGTCAAGGCTACCCCGGCTACTACGAGAATGAATCCTTCTACAGGAACAGGCAGGGCTATCTGTCTTTGATAGACCGCCAGTCTGCGTACCGTGCAGGGGTCGCTCGCCATGGCTCGCTTCAAGCCATGAAGGAGTACGTGGCGAACGTAGACTCCAACCTCTGGGCACAATTCGAGAAAGAAATCGAAAAACGCGAGAAGCAATTGGCGGCAGAGAGGGTAGTGAAGGTCCGCAACAAGATTGCCCAGAAAGTGACTAAGATCAGGAAACGGAACGCTTATAAAGAGAAGGTCCTGACAAGGAGGGAAGAACGACAAAGGAGAATGGCACAGTTCTCTCTATGCCATGACCCAGCACAGATTGAGGATGCCAATGACGTGGGTGATGAAACTGACAACGAAAGTATCAGCACCCTTGACGATACGGACGAAGACACCAGCAGCGATAGATATGAAATTTTCTCCCACATAGCGGAGACCGTGTCCTGGAGCACCGGGGAGTGTAGCGGACACGCCTTGGAGCCGCTTCGTTACATGGCAATGATGCGGGTGCCTTGGCTGAACAGGCAAAACGGGAGGGATGAATGGGGGTTCCATTGCGTTGGGTGCGAGCAAAATCAGCGGTGGCCGAACCATGCTAGACGCGACTACATCATGTCAACGTTCAAGGACCATCTCAAGGAATGTGGTCCGGTCAAGGAAGGGGTGCATCACATCAACGATTGTTGCAAGAAAGGCACCTGCGTTGGAAGGGAGAAAATTATATCTTCCCCGTTTGATGACCCATTCTGGCGGTGCTGACATGGTCCATGACGAGTCTCCCGATGCCGAAACTCAGGGGAAATTCTGGCACTGTTACCATCTGCGTGTCCGCCGCTGCCTCGGAGCGGTCGCCATAACGGTCATCGCACAGACGATCGACAAAGCTCAACCGGTGAGGCATTTAATGCCAGTTTTCTTAGGCAGAACTGTTTGAGTGTCCCTAGTCGACGGATGCCAACCACTGAATCACTTGCGCTCTCGGGGGAAAATGGTGATGGTTCGCCCAGCAGCTACAGTACCTTAAGATTAGTGTCGATGTTCTGTCGTTCCACAGCAGTTGAGTAGATTCTGACCAGCCTCCCAACCGGTGAGGCATTTAATGGACCAGTAAGGCGCAAACTGTGAAGGCTCTCGATGTACGGAGTTACACAACCTAACCATCCAACCATTA